TGAGTGTACAAAGAGAAGAGAAAAGTTGGGGGACTGGACCCAGGGCGTGCCAGAATTTAAAGGTCAGAAGGTGAAGTGAGCAAAGCGAGTCAAACACTGTATGAACCAGTTTTTAAAAAAATAGGTATTTATTTATTTACTTGATGACAAACATTTTAAAACACTATTTCTTTAACATTTTAATAAGTAGATGTTCATGGCAAAAATTCATCTAATTGCATACAAGTCCAATAATCAGCAATTTTCTTCTCCTCTAATCCCCCACCCATACCCTCTGCTTAGAAACAACCACTTTTGACAGTTTCTGAGTTTCCAGAGTTTCAGTGTTATTCCATGTGGAAAGGCTTTAATTCTTCTTTATCACAAACTTCAAAACCTCATAAAACTTTGCCTTAATTTTTTTTCTGAAGCTTAAACTTCAGTGTTGGGACCTTTCATTGGATCAGGAGTATTCAGAAGAGGATGGGAATATTTATCAAGTTACTAGTGACTTCTAGAGCCTGTCCTTTGAGACACAGAAGAGATAAAAAAAAAAAAGGCACAAGGGATCCAGTTCTAGTAATGAGTATTTTCCATACTTACTCATTTCTTCCCAGGAAAACAGTGTATGTGTGTGTATATGTGCTTGTGTGTATGTATATGTGAGAGAAAGACAGAAACAGAGAAAGGCAGAGACACAGAGTCAGAGAGACAGACAGACATCTATTTATGCAAAGGGAGGGATGGAAGGATAAAGAAAAGATAGAAAAGATTTCATCTTTATGGCTACAGGGCTGGCCTTGGTGTAGGTCACACTGACAGCTCATTACCTGCTCTAAGTTTAGGTAACCTGGAAGTATCCACAGCTGTGGCTAACAGAGAAAGGATTGGGCTAGTGAGTCCGTACTGTAGTTTAAAAACATCTGTTTCTTAAAGCATGGACAGGACATCATGAATCACTGGGTATCAGTTCAGAAATCTGTTCCTATTCTAAGAATAAAACCGTGTCTGTGGGTTGACAGCACCATGCCTCTACTACAACAGCTATTTTGATGAATAGCTTGTCGTTCTAGCCAAGGGGAAACAGTGGTGAGAGAAGCAACACGTTAAAATCTGTTTTAGATTCTAACTGTTTCTCCAGTTAGATTTCAGTAGATTCCAAATTAATGGATTAGAGATTTTTTACTAATTATACCAATGTATTCAGAGGTGCAATAATACATTATCACTGATTTGCTTTAAAATAACACAGCACCCCAAAACAACAAATATGAAGATATAAATGAAATAAGTTTATATTATTCACAATGTCTGAAGCCAGTTTAGTACATTAGGACTCATTATACGGTCTTCTCTTAGTGTGCTTGAACATTTTCATAAGAAAAACTTAAGCAAAAAGGAATAGTAATGGGAAACCAGACTTCCCAGTGGTTTCCCACAGGGCAGTCCCATTTAATAATATATGAGAACCCAGCATCACTATTTGAAATATCTAGATGACTCATTTTCTTTTTCTTTCCTTCTTTTTTTTTTTTTAAAGACAGGGTCAGTATGTAGCTCAAGCTGGCCTTGTACTCTTGATCTTTCTGTCTCACCCTCCCCAGCAAGTGCTGAGATTACTGGTGTGTGCCACTACATCTGGCATGATTCATTCCTTAATTCAGTCTTAAATAATGTGGTAGAACTTCAGCCTGTTTAGCTGTTTGTTTGTTTGTTTTTTAAGCAAACAAACAATCTCTTTTTTCCTGACTGAGGAGACAGTCAGGCCCACATGTCCTTCTCCGTAGTGACAGACCATCATCTAAACTAAAGGTACCCATGCTTTAGTTTTATACTTCTGCAAAAGAACATTCTACCCCAAAGGTTTCTACTTCATGCAAAATCAATTTGAGTGGGTATATTTTCCTGCATTTGTTCTTCCCATAGTGTTTTTAGTCCTCAGAATCAAGGTTTGTGCAGAGAGGAATCTAGGAGCTTCCTCGTCACCTGGCAGTGTGTCTTTAAGAAGTGAACTTCCCCCAATCACGTTTTTTAGGGACTTGGATGCAGCCTGATATGAAAGTCTGGCTTTCTTCTTGCACATCCCACTTTTGGAGTCTTTGCTTTCCCTCTGTGCAGTATCTTCTGTTACAAGAAGAAAAACATTCAAACTTTTTTAAAAAGTCAAATACTGGGTATTTTGAACAAAATTGTGATATAGCTTGTTTCCCCCATTTCATCCATAAATAACTTTTTGAATATGCAGTATGTATCAGAAATGTATTAGAAGAAACTTTCCCTGTTGTTCCTATTGCTATTGGCTACCTGAGTTCCTTGATGACACATCGTCTCAACCACCATGGGAAGCCTTATGCCTGGGATGGATGCCTGTAGTATTAACATGCACTGAAGTAGAGAAGGAATTTTCAGTAATGTGAAGAGGCTAAGAAATAAGAACAGAGTAAAGTACAACAAGAAAATGGTGAGGCTACAGGCCAGAAGCAAAAGCTGCAACTCCAGGGAACCCTCGAGTCATCAGAATCATGGACTGCCCAGTTCTCATTATTGTATTTTCTAAATCAGGAGTATCTTTTTTGTGCTTGTTCTTTTACCTTTCTCATTCTGAATGCTTCGCCACAGTCACTATCTTCTGAGCGACAAGTGGTTGGTGCACGTTTCTAATAGAATTACACTGATAACATGAGATATAAACTATCAGTAATGGCATAATTCCTCCCTAGATAAATGGTGTAATCATAAATAATTGAGTATTGTAGTAATTGAGAGTTATAGCAGGGACAGAAGACAGGCAGGGGTGATAATAAGAAAAAAAAGTAACCTGCTTTGTCTGGGTGATACCCAACCAACCATCCCCTGCACCTGCCTCCAGGCACGTGATATACTCAGCATTTCTGGTCAGGCCCTACTCTGTTGAGAGCAAAGCTAGTCCCCAGCAGGCCTGGAGAGGCAGGAATGACAAGTTATGAAATGTGAGGGGTAAACTGACCAACACCAAGGCTGTTGGATCTGTAAATGAGAAACTTGTTCCTGGGTCCAGAATTTCAGCTGATAGCAATTTTTTTTTTACTGGAAATCTGTGAGTCTTCCTTTCATTTTATGAGGCTTTCTATTGATTACTGTGAAGGGCTGAACCTCTAACAAGGGGTATCAGTGAGATACTGCATACTGTGAGCAGTATTTTACTGTTCCATTATCTGGGGCAGTTTGCGTGAGTAGGAGGGTGTAGGGAAAGACCAAGGAAGGATCAGGTGGTGGCCCACCTGCAGAGCACTGGGGGCATGAGAAGGCTGTAGCTGAACAAGCACTTTCTCATCTCCTCAGTTAATTTTCTTTTGGGTTGCCCACTTGAGAAGTTCTGATTGGAGGCAGAGAAGGAATGAGAAAGGAGAAAGTAGCAGAAGGATTGAAGAGAGAGAAAATGGAAGTGGATGAACTGAGATAATCAAGAAAGGGAAATAATTTTTGTTTCAAACTCATCAAGCTGCCTTGATTCCTCAGTCCCTTCCCTCTCCCTTTCCTCTCACCATTGTTATCATGTAAATAATTGCTCATTCCAAGTCCTTCCAGAGCCTCCTTAGGGTGCTAAGGAGCTAATGTGTATTGTTTTCCTTTTTCATAGGTTGCCTTTCACATATTTTTCCCTATATAATGGTATCAATGGGTTTTCCTTCTCTCTCTCTCTCTCTCTGCATAGTGTAATGTTACCATAATCCAATATCAAATGAGTATGTCCATCACCACTCATGCTGTACATTAGATCTATAGAACTTGTTCATCTTATGACTGAAAGTTTATATCCTTTGACAAACTTCTCCCCAATCCCTGGCAACCACTGCTCTCTCTGTTTTTATGAGTTCAATTTTTCTAGGTTCCACTTACCAGTGAGATCATGCAGCATTTGTATCTTACTAATTTCTCTTAGCATAACGTCCTTCAGGATCATTCACATAAAAAATGGCAGGATTTCCTTCTTTTGTGGCTGAATATTATTCCATTGAATATATGTATCATATTAAAAAATTCATTTCTCCATAGATGGCCACTTTTTCCTATAACCTAGCTATTATAAATAGTGCTTCAACAAATGTGGGATATGGACATCTCTGAGATACTGATTCCATTTCTTTGAACATATACTGGGAAAAAGGATTGTTGGATCATTTGGTAGGTTTTTTTTATTTCAAAAAGTTTTCAACCCTTCCTGGGGGAGGAGAGCTCTGAGAAAGAAAATTTAAAATGTATATTAAAGATACCTAAACTGTAAGAATAAGACATTTTATAAAAATAAGTCATTTTTAGGCAAAAGCCATTTTAAAGTGATCAACATCTGCTTCTACACATTGCTAATCTTTCATCTGTCATTTTAAACTTTGTTAAAGTCCCTAAAATTAACTGCTAATACTTGGTGGGTGAGGGTACTTGAATTAGGACAGGTGTGTTTGGCAAAGAATTGAGGTGTGTCCCTATCAGGGACATGAACTCCAGTCAAGATATGTTACAGGTCGTTTAAATATCATTATGATATCCAGGTGCTGCTAAATGTTAATGACCTGCTGTTAGCCATTCGATGGGTGGGGACTGGAAGGAGGGGAAAGCAATATTTATACATGGCAGGTGTAAAAGAGTAAAAATAATGAATTTGTTCCCAAATTGGCTAATGGGTATTTTCAAAGCCATGTTAGATTAAAAGAATCCACTTATCTCACTAGTATTCAGTAGCCCATGGGTCCAGGGAAACTCTGTAGGGCATCCAGGAGTTCTGTACATGAATTGGATTTAATTGCTCTGAGAGTTATTGGAGCTTTCTTTGATCAGGATTGAAATAAGGATAAGCTGAGGTTTTTCAGATTTGTGGTATTTAAGGAAGGAAATTCACAGCACAGCTGTTAGTCGGTAGAGGGAAAGGCAGGCCAAAGTTGGGGAACTTGCTGATTTTAATTCTTTTTTCCTCTGTACGCCTGTAGATTCAGTGTTTCCTTCTGGGAGATTGCCTTTCCAATGTTACAATCTCTTTCACTGAGATGGATGACAGAGGGGTTAACAAAGAGCCAAATCAGAAATTAAGCTTTTCCTTTTGTGAAGAAGAGATTGAGAATGAAGGGCAGAAGGAAACAAAAGCCAGTGGGGAGACCCAGAGCCAAACCCCAGAGAAGGGTGAGACTCAGTATGTAGCAACTCCCAGGACTCCCCTCCGGGATGTCTATGAATTCCATACCTCTCAGGACAAAGACAAGGAACGTTCAGATGCAATTCTGCGGACGCCAAAGTCAGAACCTCCCAAATGTCCTGCAACACCAGCACAACCAGACAGAAAGAAGCTACCACTCCATGACAACCCTTCCACTCCCAAAGTAAGCCATGGGAAGTTTGTTTTCCTTCAGTTCAGCTGACAGAGAAAGACTTGATAATTTGCATATATATGATAGACTTGCCTCACAGGCTGAAATATATCCTCAGTTACATATTTATCAGTGGAAATGAAGGTGGGTTTAAAAGTACCAGAACACAGAATAAATGTACTGTTACTTGTCTTCTCAAGACCACTGCTTCCAGGTACTATTTGGTATTGGCAGATAAGTCTTGGGTGGGAAAAGTTCCTGGTTGTAGTATACTGGAACTGGAAGGAATGGAATACTGCAGTCTATAACCAGCCTGTGCACTTTACACATGAGAAAGCCATGGTCCCCAGAGATAAACCAGCTTATAGCTCAGCCTGTGGCAGACCAGAGTAGACACCTGAACTTTGGGCTTAGTCTGTTGTTCTTTCCATTATGCCATCTGACTGTATTTTAGGGTAATTATTTACCAGTGTTTCTCTATACAGGAATGTTCACATTCACTGTTTGAACATATTCACATCTCTTTACTGCTGTTCTCCCAAGCAGCCTTCTTGGCCTCATGAAGTATAGGCTCTTCTATTATTCGTGAGCAAGGAAGTAACTCGTTGGTACTTCTTTAAAGATTGAGGATGGCAGATAAGCAGTGGCTGTTAATAGTTAGCATATTCCTTTCTTGTTGTTGTGATTGGTCTCCTATTATGTGGTTCACTATTAAAGCCAAGGTTGGGGCACGGTTACTTCTAGTAGACTCTGGTGTGATTCCCTAGGATGGATATCAGCTCTGCTCCCTGCTGGCTCAGCTTGAGGTATTTAACTTCTTTATAACATCTGTGATCCTGCTTGCAGGATAGTCACTATCAGCGGGTCTCTGTAGTGCCTGCTGAGTGTGCATACCGTGTCTAGCAGGAAATCCTAAGCTGCTTGTCTGAACTGTTGACAGATTATAATGTTCGGGTGTCCATCAGCAGAGAGTGAAGGAGGGAAAAGTTTTATCTATGACAACATAAGGGCGAGGTCTTCTGTAAAATCATTTTCATTTGTATAAACTTAAATGTTCTCATCTTTAAAAACTGGAGGTAGAACTAGAATTGGTGGGTTTCACAGCTACCTAACAGAAATGCCTAGAGCCAAGGATGGCGTTTAATAAAAGTATGAATTCCTGTGTTGTTCTCATGATGAATGTGACCATTTAGATAAGAGACTAGGGTTCTGTATTTTTCATAAGAGCACCAAGTACAATGTAGTTAGTTCACATTGAACCAGATCATCTTTAAGGAGACTTTTAGCAATAACATTCTTTGATTCAAATATCATCTATGTAACTGACATATAACTTTTTTTTTTACACTAACCCTGTTTGACTTGCCTTTTGTCAACTTCATTCAGAACCTGGTGATCCAATCAGATATTTCTTCAACGGGAAAACTCATCTCCCGAAGCTCTAAACATTTGCGACTCACATCTGCTCCACTCATGGATGAAATGACCTCATTGTCTCTGGTCAATATTAATCCATTCACCCCAGAATCCTACAGAAAATTGTACCTTCAATCAAAGGGCAAGAGGAAAGCCCGAGGTGATCTGTATGTACCCAGTTGTCTCTAACTTTTAAAAACGCCTGTAGTCAAGGAGTAAGAAGAGAGCATTAAATTAAGATTAGGAATAAGAACTCTATTTACCTGAGACTGAAACAATGTCTATATGTCTCTCTCCCTTAAGTGTCATTGTTGGTTACAGAGAATTTGGCATCTTTCCATTCTAATGTGTAGTGAAGATGACTTTTAAGAGCAGGGAGGAGTAAGTAATAGCTCTGACTTCAATTTGAAAGTTGAATGGGCTAAAAAGTACAATCAAGGGACCTCCTTTTCTTTATATGAGGCTCGCAATTGAGGAAGGTGTAGTTCATATTTCAAACAGTATATTGCTGCTTCAGGTCTAGCTTGTGTGACTGGTGATGAGAGCAAAGACTTGACCTTCTCTGCAGGTGATGGGAGACGACTGAAAAGATGGTGTTACTTTCACAGGAACTAAAAAATGGAAAGCCAAACTGTGTGATTTCCCAAAGGGCACAGATTGGTACAAATAGTTCAAATCAGGATTGTGCATGTTACTCAGGGACATTTATTATCATGCATGATAAAACGGGGCAGTTGTTTGTGTTCGTATGTACTCACCAAAATAAATGCACAGCTAACAATCCAGACTTTGCAGAGCTTTAAATGTATCATGTTGAGTTTCCCATGTAGTCAATGTATTATTGAACTTTATGGCCAGAATAGGCATTCTCAACAGTTTCCTCAGTGCCCAGTTTCTCTGGCTACTGAGACTTCCATTGGTTTTAGTTCTTTGGAAGTCTTTGTAAACTACTAGAATCAATGACTCCATCTCTCACTGAAGACAATGGGGAAAGACAGCTAATTTGAATTCCTCACAAGGAAAATGGTGATACTGTAATAACATCACTTAGTACTTTAGGGGATATTTTTCTCCCTGATTCATGTGTTATAAAGTATCAGCATGTAGTACTAAATTTTAGTCACAAGTGTTCATTAACTTATTTCCATGAATTTAGTGTCAGCTACTTTCAATTCCTACTCTGTACTTCTCCAAAAGAAAAATCTAGATGGCTGATCTGTAATTTGAAATCAAACTCACTGAAGATATCCTAGGTCTATGCTTCTGCTCTATTTATAGTCTACCTGGTTCTGGGGAGGTGGGTATTACGAGGAGAATGTAGTGCAACAGTGAAGAACAAATGCTTTGGGGTCAGACTTGGTTTCAAATTCCAGTTCTGCCCCTTACTAACTGCATAATCTAGAATGAATTAACATCTCTCACCCTTGGTTAGTTGCTCATTTGGGGATAATATGGTCCACTTATGGTTTCATGTATGTGCTGTGTGCTCTCGTTTCTAGTTTCTAGCATGAGGTGTTCTACTTGCCTAAAACTCCCATTCCTTTCCCTTAGTCATTCCCACTCACTCTTGGAATCTTAACTTACATATCTGCTCTTCTAGGAAATCTTTTTACTCTTCAAATACTTACATACCTGGGTGCTGTCCATGGTATCCCCTGATGCCTTGTTCTTATCCTTTCCTTTTCTGGTTATCTCTACCCTCAAATATAAATTGAAAAGGGGAAGGAATTGTCTTATGTACTCTTATAGCCACAGAACCTAGTGTAGTACCAGGCTGAGTAAGTGTATTAATTGTACATGATCATATGTTTATAAAACTTTATTTTTATTTATTTATTAATTAATTTTTTTAGTGAGGAAACTGGTGCAGAGGGAGGTAAATTAGAAGAAGGGTTGCCTGCCAAGGTGAGTATGGTTCTTTGGTCCAGCTGTGACAACATAGGTATTTCATCCTATTCTCTGGCTTCAGGTAGAAATGACAAAAATATCAAACACTTAACACATGCAGAGCATAGTGTTTAGATCCCATAAGGGAAAAAATCAATATGAAAATTACTGCCCAAAAGGAACTAATACCTTTGAAATTTCAAAACAATCTATACATAAATGTGAAGCTAGAAGATACGTGTATTTGCATGTACAAATGTGCAATGTGTACATACATATACATATATATTAAAATCTGTATTGAGGGTTAGCAAAAATACTTCTTATAGGAAGCAAGATGGGTAGAAGAGATGTGGATGGAAGTAATTGTAGGCAAAGGAAATAAGTGACTGTCCGTGCTCTGAAGGTGGAGAACAGGTCACATGTGTGAGAGAGTGGTGTGGGATTGGTGAGTGGTTGGGGAATGAGAATGGTGAGCTGGAATCTGAGATGAGAGTGATAACATAGAGAGTGTTCAATTGGTAGAAGGGCTTCAGGCTACTTGTCAAAGTTTGAATTTCTCATGAGAAGCAATTATGTGTCTGATTCTGTGGTATCAATTTGCAAAACTAATTTTTACTGCTAGAGGAGTTGCAAAGAGGCCTAACAGCTGTAGAAAATCCAGATATGTGGAAAACAGAGCTTGGGATTGGTTAAGAGCAATGGAAATTATAGGTCTTGTTGATGAAGATTGATTGCAATTTGATATTAAAAATCAGCTAGTAAAGGTGAGGATTTTAAAACTAAGAGGAGAAAAATTCTTGCTAATTAGGACATTGGGAAAAGATTACTTTGAGAGAGAAATCATCTTTGATTAGATTCATATTAAGTTATGGAGATTCTGATCATTATAATTTATTGAACTTTCCTATGTGCTGCATATTATACTAAGAGATATATTGCATATATGTAATGGAATATTGTATATTATATAATATTTAAAAGTATGAGTAGTTGCTATGATCTTCATGCTATAGATGAGAAAACTGATAAAGGAGTTTAGTGATTTGCTGGAGCTATTTACTGGCTGGGAAATGAGTGGTGCTGCTAGTTGGCCAGTAGGGAGGGTGTTCATGGTACCTGAGCTCCTATTCTGGACTAATTAAGTGGACTGTTTTCTTTCTAGAATAGGATTTTAGGGTGAAATACACTGAAACAAAAATTGTTTATTCAACTTGAGATGGAAGTATTAGCATACAGACTTTGAGAAAGGTGAAGAAGAGTCAAATGGAGGTTTTTTGTTTTGTTTTAAACATGCTCCATTCTGTTTCCTGTGTGGACAGTAGCTCAAGGTTTGAGATGTGCTCTCTTTAAGAAGATACAGAAAAGAACAGTTTGACCAGATAGAAGAAAGAATATTTAAAAATATGTGAGAAAATATGCTGAGTTTCCTGGAAGGTTGGAAAGAACACTGTGAATGTAACCAGCATTTGTGAGATTTTTGCTACTGTGAAATTGTCACAAATAGAATCTATCATGTTTGCCCTTAGGAATGTAATTTTTGGTTCTATTTTATTGCTCATATGTTAGAATTGCACTAACTCTTTTTATTAAAATATTTTAGAAAAGTGTTCTACGAGAAATTAACATGGCTTCCCGATATGAAAAAGAATTCTTGGAGGTAGAAAAAATTGGGGTTGGGGAATTTGGTACAGTCTACAAGTGCATTAAGAGGCTGGATGGATGTGTTTATGCAATAAAGCGCTCTACCTTTTCAGGATTATCAAATGAGTGAGTACCTTTGATATGTACTAGAAGTACAAATTTGGATTTGGACAGCTGTTTCTTGTCAAAATACTTTAAATAATACCACTAACATCTTCAAAAACATACCATTTGCTTTTTTTGTTTGTTTTAATCATTCCCTATTGTATGTCATCTCTTTTTCATAACTGAGTTGTCCCAATCAGACACAAGTTATTTCCTAAAATATAATGTGATAATTTCAGGTCTTGTATTTTTGCCAATCTCTTAGCTTTTAGTTTCTATTACTGATCTTACTGTTTTATTCATGACTAGATTTATCTAAAGGTTTTCTGGTGCCTGCTTAGTTAATCAGAAACATTGCCAAGTAAGAAGTTACTGTTAACTCACTGACTTAACTCTACTTTGTACTAATAATGAATTCAACAGTTACAGTTCAGAGAAAATTTGTCAAAAGTTTATATTCTATTACTAGAACTAACTATTCAAAGGTTCTTTCTTGATTTGTAAGGAAAACAAGTATTACACATTCAGTAAGTGCTTTTAATTAACTCTGTGGGTGTAATATTTATCATTTTGAATCTGGAATTACAGGCTTTTACTTTTATACTGAAATTCATCACAGACAATATTTTGCTTTTATTTTGTTGAGATTTCCCATTGCATAAGGAATATCTCCCTCCAAAACTGCTCTCAATATTGGATGAGTTGAATATTGACTTTAACACTATTTAGCCTTCATCGAGAAGAGGCCCATCAATCATATCCATATTCGAATGTATTCTGGCCTTCTTGTTAAGCCCATTAAGTTTTTTTATATTGTGCAAGAATGAAATGAAGACCTGAAGGATGTCTGTTATTGAGACAGTAAGCACCTGAGACTCTTCTTTATATGTGCCATGTTCAATCAAAAAACAATGGGCTTTGGTACCAGACTGACCAAGGTTCTTCTCATGGGTCTAATATTACCAGTCCGACTTTGGATCAGTCACTTGTTTTCTAGAGACTTCATGTGTTCCACTGTCTCTTAACAAGTAGTTATGAAGATCAAATAAGATAAAAAATCATTCAGTAAGCATCTGATAAATGTTCTGCCATGTTAATGCCTCAACTTTTTTTTTTAAAACCACTTCAATGTACATTGTCCTGATTAGTTTTTCCCAATGCTTTTCTGTCTCTTAGGAATTTAGCTTTACATGAAGTGTATGCTCATGCAGTGCTGGGGCATCACCCCCATGTGGTACGTTATTATTCCTCATGGACAGAAGATGACCATGTGATTATTCAGAATGAATACTGCAACGGTAAGTAGGTGGATTAATGTCCATGGAGCTGAACTTTGTAACTCTTCAGAAACAAATTCTGCCTCCTCATAGGTTATGGCAAGCATATTAGTTGTACCTAAAAAAAACTATATATAATCTTGCTTGGAAGAAGAGAGTTTGATAAAATAGGTGAGTTAAAAAGAAATTTCCAGACATGTATAGATTTCTTTCAGAGCTGGTGTGTAGCTGATACATAGAAGCCAAAACTCCCTTTACACTTTGCTTAACACTGAAAGAAAAACTTACCTACTAGTTCAAGTGGTAAATAATCCTTTCACCATTTGCTAGGTATTTTGAAAGATACAAACTATATTTTAGGAGAAGTTGGGGTAATGTTTCTTCATCATGCATTGGTTTGGGTAACTTCTGAATACTTTTCAAGTGGATTCCTAAATTAGGGGGTTGTTCATGCGTCTTACCTTTGAGCTTTAGTGTTCTGATGAGTAAGGGCATGGATGGGCACTGGGACCAAATGTGGTGATTTCAGATATATTATCTGAGGTCCTTCAAAACTACACATAACTGGTAACACTTTTTTTTCATAAAGAGCAGTACTTTGGTTTAACATCTAATCTGTGATTAAGGAGTTGATATAACAGCAAGTATGTGATACCAGCCTTGGAAATACTTTCTCATTAAAATGTTCAGTGGTAAAATAGAAGAGTGCTACAAATTCAATAAAAGCTTGTCCTCATTTTAGGAGGAATCCATAGTAATATTTGAAGACTTCACTTCTCTCCCCACACCCACCCCAAGTTTCTCTGATAGTGTAGCCTGTCTTTTCTAATTGTCTGTCTGAGGGAAGAATAGATCCTTATGCTTATGACAGAGAAGTTGAGACTTTCCCTATTACCTTGTTTTTCTAATTCCTTTTTATGGAAACCTGAGATTTACTATTCTTTTTCTCCTTCCTCTTTCTATAAGGAGGACTGGTTTTATTTCCATGGCTTTTTTGTATCATTTTTTTAATTATTGTTGTCCTAGGGATACATCGTGACATTTACAAAAATTCTTATATAATAGTTGAATTCACCTCCTCCATCTTTCTGTTTTGTCTTCCCTCCCCCTATTCCTGGAATAGTTTTAACAGGTCTCATTTTTCCATTTATACACATGACTACATAATATTCTGACTATATTCATCTTTCTATACTCTTTTATCTCCCTCCCTCCCACTGGTACCAACTTGCCACATAGGACCTGTCTGTTTTTGAAAAAAAGACATATTGTTTGTTTAACATATCTATACAGGGTCTTTTGTTGTGACATTACCATGTATACATGTATTACAACCTGAATTAGTTCATCTCCTTTATTTTTCTCCTTTCTGCCTTGGTCTCCTTCTTACAGTGATTTCAACAGGTTTAAAAAATGTATATATTCATTCTTCTATAGGAAGTATGTCAACCATATTCACCTTCTTAATTTACCCCTTTTTTAACCCTCCATCTCTTATTAGTGACCTCCCCTTAGTGTGACCTGTTTTTCATAATATTGGTTGTATTTTTCCATAACTTTTTGTCAACAACGATAATATCAAATAACAAAAATTCACAAAGGAAAACTTATTTTTAATTTGATTTGGTGGCAATGTAAACATTTCAAAAATTTTAAAAGGAATAAGACAGAGTGATTGTTCCTACTAACAATCATCTTTGAATTCATGTAGGTATCACTTCTATAGGCTTGACACTGTGGTAAGCTCTAGAGAGAAATATGCTAGAGTGAGATAAGATAAATTCTTGTCTTCAAGGAGATTTACTCCACTCCTGTTAGAATGTCTACATGAGACAATTTTGTGCAAAGCTAGCTGGTACAAAAATGCATAAACAAGCAGTCAGAGAAGATGAATGTGAGAGTGCTAGAAAGGGTCTGGGCTTTAAAGTCTGGCAGACCTGGGTTCAAAGTCCAGCTCTGCCATTTACTAGTTGTATAATTGCTGGGATGTTTTTTAATATCAATGAGTGAAGGAATTTTAATACTTAACTAAAAGGAGTAATTTGAAAATTATCCAACAATATATGCCAAGTTGTTAATACAGCATCAATACCTGGTACATAGTAAAAGATACATAGTAAAAACTCAATAAGAATTGCTACTGGTGTAGCCTGAGAAGGGAGGTAAGACTTTCAGAAGAATTACTAGAGTTTAGGAAATCCAACGGAAAAACATGCAGGCCAATGACATAGAATTGGAAGTGGATCTGATCTAGTACCCAGTAACAGACTTCACATGATTGAAGTAACCCTTGTAGTAGGAAATGAGGCTAGAAGGTAAAAGGGTTAGGAAGCTAGAGGGGGCCTTGAAAGCCAGGCAGTGGATTTCAGATTAGATGTGGTAGGTTATAGGAACCTGTTTCTTCATCATGTTGGTCCACTACATTCACTGAGTATTTGCTAATTGAAATGTAACTTTGCTGCTGCAAAATGTAACAGAACACACTGAGACTTTCCAAGGTCTCATTGCTTCTACTCCCTCCTCCCCTCCATTGCCTACCTCTCCCTTCTTCTTACCTTTTCGTCCTTATACCCTGCCTCCCTACTGGCCAGTCTTCTTCCCAGTCTAATCACAGAAGTTAGGTTGGAACATGTACAGATATTATTTTTAATTTAGATTATTATTTAGACAAATCAGATTATAGATTAGATAACTATTGGAGACTAGTAACCATCTAATTTCCCCTATTGTCCCTTCTGATCCCTGAACCAATAAAGTGTTTCCTTCTTCTCCCAAACCTTGCCAAGCACTCTGTAAGTCATCTCTGGGTCAGTTCTAAAGAATCTGCAGTAGATTCCACAGTCCCCAGGATTCTAACTTATTCAGTATTAGACTATTACTGTCTCCCAAAAGGCAGTGTTTTCTCAAGACATCTTTTGCCATTGAGGTTCCAGAAAGCCCTAGAATGATGGTTCTTATACTTGTTTGAATGATGTGATATCCAGGAGTCCGCATCCTCTGTGGAACATCACGAATACTGGATCCATTTTTCCATCAAACAATGAACAATTTTCCAGTAGAAAAATATGCTTGTTTTATAGGCCAACACCATAAAATGAAGATTGTGAGACTACAGATGCGTGAACATTATCGAATTGATCTGCTTTCATATTTTATTGTTAGAAGTCTTTTGCTTTTTGTTTTGATATCTGTTAGATTCTCATTAGCAGAGATTAAAAACATAAAAATAATTTAAAGTTTTTTCCCCCTTTCTGCCAAAGGATAAGGTATAATTACTTTATCATAAGGGAGTGACTCAGTGCCCCACCTCACAAAGAAGGCTTCAGAAGAGCTCCCAGGAGCTGGCTTTTGTTACCTTCAGCCTACTTGCAATTAAAGAAGCCATCTCCAGGTGAAACCTGGGTTGTGGAGTTGCAGCTGCACTGTGAGTGGTTAAAAGTACGGATGATGCTCACAGTTCATTCAGTGTTACTATGTCTGTAAACAATACGTCCTTGTTGACACTATTTAATAAAGAACAGTTGATTATGTTCTTCAATATGGGGCAATCAGCTTTAGCTGTAGCAAAATAAGGATATTTTAACACCTCTGCATAAATGAGTTCTTTTCAATAACTTGTGCTGTTGTTAATTATTACTTGGCTAACTTAAATCTGCTTACAGAGCTTATAAGTATTGAAGTGTGGTAACGATGCTGTTCTGCTTGCTCTTACTAAATAACAGTTGCTCTTGAGTGGATTAGAAACATCTTGCTTATTATCTAGAAGAACACATTAAAGGATCCCTAAATACCCCAAGAAGTTTCTTTCCTTCCCCACTTTTAAGGAGTCTTTGATTCATTTCCTTTGTTGCCAGGATAAACATTAATTCAGAAAATATTTGTTACATAATAATAGGTTTTAGGAAAAAGAGTATGAACTAGTTTAGTAGAGACCAGTAGAGTTCTAATGGATGCAGCCTCCTTCCTCCTTGTCAACAACATGTCATGACCTCATCTACAAACTTAGTCTCAGAGTGACTTCATTTTTTTAACAAAATCCAAAATGTTCTCTTTCCTTACTTTCTAATTAATAAGTCATCCAGAGTACATAAATGTTCTAAAAAGATGCTTAGAGAAATAAAAATGATTACTGTAGTCTTGTGTTTCTTCAAAGAAGTTGAATTCTGTTGCCTTCGAACTTGATTTTAGCATGACAGATCAGTCTCTAAATTCAGTTTCACACAGAATTCTTTCAAGTACATATTTCCTCAAAAATTTCATTCTCATTTCTGATCCTATTGTTTTTACACATATTGATGGATAGAGCTATAGGCAGGCTTTGTAACTGCCAATAGGAGCTAGGACTCTAATTTAAAGAACTTGCTAATGAATGCTAACCAATGAAATAAAGAATTCAGATGCATTCTAATACCTTAGGATGGGTGTCTAAGATCAGGTAATTATATGCACTCAGTTCTTATTTTTTATTGATAACAAAGATAAATCAAGATAGTCTATGACTGATCTATAAATTCTGTGGCACAAATAGAATGCAGGTATATAGAAAGCTTTTAGATTTTCCTTAGGTCAGCAACTACTAAATGTTCTAATTTTATGATATATCTTTAATGGAATTAGGACCGACCACATTGAAATTATTAATAGCCTGACACTGATAGGAGATTAATCATCGACACCATAGTACAGATATGACTAAGTTTGATTTGCCTTCTGGATAATAATTAGGTAAAATTTTAATGTTAGTTGGCACATTCTTGAGGCAGTGAGGCCACATATTAGATATGTGAGATACTGGAATTTTATTTTCCTCTTTAAAAGCCCTGTAATTCTTTCTAACACCTATGGTATAGACATGGGACAGATGTTATTATGCTTTGCACTGAGACTTGAACTAATTTAGATTTGTTAGATTGATGTTTTTCATGAGGAATTTTTACTATATTTACTATGTTTTCAACTATAACAGTCATACCTATTTTCTCATTCTGTGAGGTTATTCTCTATTTTTTCCATAGGTGGGAGCTTGCAAGCTTCTATATCAGAAAATGCTAAGTCTGGCAATCATTTCCAAGAACCTAAACTCAAAGACATCCTTCTTCAGATTTCCCTAGGGCTTAAATACATCCACAATGCTGGCATGGTACACCTGGACATCAAACCTAGTCAGTATGCTTCCTTCTATTCTTTCTGTCATATTTTGTCCTTTCCATACCATCATCAAAATCTGTGTCTATGTGTCTACCAAGTGTCAATGATAGGCTGGGCATGGTGGCTCATGCTTATAATCCCAGATACTCTGGAGGAGGAGTTGGGGGAGGATTGTGATTTGAGGCCAGTGCAAGGGAATGTTAGCAAGATTCCATCTCAATCACCAACTCAAGTGTGGTGGCATGCCTGTGATCCCAGTTATGGGGGAGGCTGTAGGTAGAAGGATCATGGTCTGAGGCTGTCCCTGGGCAAAATCACATGACCCTACCTGAAAAATAAGTGAAAAAAAGGGCTGAGGGCATGGTTCAAATGGCAGAGCACCTGCCTAATAAGCATGAGGCCTTGTGTTCAATCACCAGTATTACCAGGAAAAAAGTGCCAAAGACAGTGTTTGTTGGCAGAATTCCTTTCTTTCATTTGTCTTCCCTAGAAAAATGCTGTTAAACAGCTTTAAACATTTCCCCCTTGGTCACAGTGTACAGAAAGGAAAAAGACTCTCATATAGAGAGCAATTATAAAAATATCTATTTAATTTATGTCATAGATAAGTGACAGCATGTTGGCTACCTTCTGATTGGGCTTATATTTTCTAATTTAGCACTGATCAAAGTGCTCAGAACTGAATGGTTTTATCCTCTTTTATGTGAAACTTAATGACAAGTTATTATTTTGTGGTTTTTATTTATTTTGACATAAATGAGGTGGGAATGTATGAAGTAAGCTTAACTTAAATAGCCATTACGAATCACTGGGTGTACCAATGTGATTCGTATGGGAAAAAGAGGTTGGTAGTCTTGCTGTAATCACCCAGAAGAAGAAAGTAGAGATGCTGAAATATCAGATCCAGAAAAGAATCTTTGGGGTGCAAAAGTTCAAGAACCATTACTTTTTGTGTTTTTCAGGTAACATCTTCATTTGTCATAAGATGCAAAGTGACTCTCCTGAAGGCCCAGAAGAGGTTGAAAATGAAGCTGATTGGTTTCTGTCTGCCAGTGTGATATATAAAATTGGTGAATCTGCCTTACACTCTTATCAGTATGCTATTATCCTAAATCATGATTCCATTTATTGTAGCTCTAACAAAGACATACTTTTTATTAGTATATATTAATTGTACAAAGGGGTTTCATTGTGCTTTTCCATACTTATAATATACTTTGCTCAAATTCACCCTTCTCTATTACTTTCTTATCCCCCCCATTTTTAAACAATTTTAATGGGGTTCATTACTCTATTTTCATACATGTGAGTGAAACATTTAAAAACATAATTTTTTAAAGCTCTATTTTCTTTCTATTTTTTTTTTTAAGGTGACCTGGGCCATGTGACATCAATAAGCAAACCCAAAGTAGAAGAAGGAGATAGTTGCTTCCTGGCTAATGAGATTTTACAAGAGGTACAGTTGGGGAAAATAGCAAGCATTTTATTTTTTGGACAGTACTGTGGTTTTGAACTCAGGGCCTCATGCTTGTTAAGCAAGTGCTCTACCAATTGAGCTATGCCCCTAGCCCTTTTCACTTTAGTTTGCTTTTCAGAAAGGTCTTGCACTTTTGTCTTGGCTGGCCTCAGATCTCCACCTCCCAAGTGATCCTCCTCTCTCTGCCTCCTGAGAAGCAGGGATCACAGACATTCACCTCTACACTTGGCTTATTCTTTAAGATAGGATCTCTCTAACTTTTTGCTTTTGCAGGCCTTGAACTGTAATCCTCCTATCTCCATTTCTCAAGTATCTGGGATTATAGCAATGTACCACTGTGCCCAGTCTTATAACTTAATGTTTTATTTTATTTTTTGAGAGTCTCATTGTGTTAATCAGGCTGGCCTCAAGCTCACAATCCTCCTGCCTCAGCTTTCCAAGTAGCTGGGACTACAGGTGTGGAGGGTATTTTATAATCCTTGGCCCCTTGACTTGCAAAGGGAGTCTTAAAGTACAAAAATGAAGAGTACACATTTTATAATTTAAAGTATAACATCTCTTTTCCCATTCAGAATGGAAACCAAAGATAAACTCTTCCAAAAGCCTGGGAAAGCTGGCTAGATCAAGGAATAATCAATATTGATACTGTTCTTTCTAAAGGTCCTTCACTGTTTCTAGCATTTCTTAGCATTTGTAACCTTATGGATTGCCTTCCTTCCTATTAGGAAGGAAGCCTCCTTCTCATGCTATATTGGTCTAACCCACCTTTATCCTTCTGGTAGCACCACCTGGTCACTAAAATGACCTTTAGTCATTGCCTATCTTCTGAGGTGTCTGGTGTGTTTGACCTAGGAAGAATATAACCTCCTCCTGGCTGATAATCAGGAAAAAATAAGTCTTTCCTTCTGGTGATCAGCTAATTTATGTGCTAAGCCTCTTTGTGCCTGACAGAGCAAAACAGTGCTAAGATTCTGCCTTGGGCTTTTCAGGGCACAGTATTGTTAATAAGGTATGTTTATGTTCCTCTAGAAATAAGCCACGAACTATGTAAATGTAACTTTACTCATAGTATGTAGAGCTCATATGTATTCAAATGAACCTCTCTTACCAGTTGCATTTTAGTCTTAACTGGCTTCCTGTCTTCTGTTTTGCAGGACTATCGACACCTTCCCAAAGCAGACATATTTGCCTTGGGATTAACAATTGCAGTGGCTGCAGGAGCAGAGTCGTTACCTGCCAATGGTGATAAGTGGCACAATATCCGCAAGGGTAACTTTCCGGATATTCCCCAGGAACTCTCAGAAGACTTTTACAATTTGCTCAAGGTGACATCTCTCATGAGATGAAGAGAAGATGAAATGTCTATTTTTTTTTAGTGGAAAGGGGGTTTGTGTGTGTGAAAAATTTGGTAGTGCCTTTAACAGAAGTAAAAAGGATCTAGGAAGCCCAGAAAAGATGCAGGACAGATTGAAAGCTTCTTAGGAGCATAACCTTTCATGTTTACTTAAAAAAAATCCTATTAGGAACATTTCTTCATTTGTTCTTCCTAATAATCCTGTAAAGGATTATTATCTCATTCTGCACTGGAGAGAACTCAAGGCTCAGAGAGGCTCTTTGATTCTGGTATTTGCAGTAAATAACTGGTTAACTCTTAAAATCAAACCTGGCCTTTCTCTTACTACTTCTGGGTTTCAATAGTGATGATATTACTAAAATTATTTCAAGTGAATTTTAAAAAATATAAGCTACTTTATCAGTAATTGACAATACCCACCAATTTGAGCTTTTGGGAAAAGAAGGTAGATTGTCAATTCAATTCAAAAATCTATGTGTGACATGTGCTTAATGATACCCAAGTATGTATAGGGATAACCAAATGATATTATTTGAGAGATACAAAAAACAGAGTTGAGCTGGGGCACAGCTCAAGAGATAGAGAGTATTTGCCTCACATACACAAGGCCCTGGGTTCATTCTTCAACACCATAAAACAAGAAAAACAAAACAAAACAAGAAACACTACACTGTCAAGAAGTTTAGAGTCATACCAAGAAAACAAGATATATTTTTGACTTACTTCATGGCTTAGGAAACAGGATCAGTTAGGATCCCTTAGAAATATCCACTGCCTTGGATATTAGATTTGGGTTTCAGTTTACTGGCAAACTTTAATGTTACAAATCTTTCCTTCTTCCTGACTTTTTGCTTTCCTGAAAGGAGGCAAATCCCTCCTTACTGTAGTCTTTTCTTCATAGCCTAAAAATCTGTCACTATGTGTAAAGGGTTATTAAATTTAGTTCATACTTACTGAAGGCCTAAATGCTAGCCCTGTACTAGGTAATGTAGTAAATTTATATTAATTTATTTAATTTTCCTAACAATCCCAAAAGGAGATTATCATCATCTCAAATTTCAGGTAAGGGAACTGAGCTTCAGCAAAGTTTACAAAGTAAATGGTGGAACTTGCTCTGAACTTGGTCCCCAAATGTTAGGTTCAGTGTTTTCTTCATTATATGTTAACTGATTGTGTGTGTGTGTGTGTGTGTGTGTGTGTATTCTACTATATTAAAATCATCTTAGGTTATAGACATCCTCTACATTCAGATAAATGGTCTAGGAATACTGTCATAGTGAGCAATTTTTTTTAATAGTACTAGGAATTGGACTCAGGGCCTCATGCATGCTAGACAGTGCTCTACCACTTGGGCTATTCCCACAGCCCTTTTGTTTGTGTTTTGGTTTTGGTACAGAGTCTTGATAACTTTTCCCCAGGCTGGCCTCAAACTTGTGATCCTCCTGTCTTTGCCTCCCAAGAAGCTGAGATTACAGACATGAGCTACTATGCTGGCTTTCATACAGTCACTATTAAGTGACAAAGGAGCATGATATAATAGAAAGTAAGCTGAACTAAGACTTGGGCAAATCTGACTTTGGAGCTGGCCCTTCCACTAACTTAGACAAGTCACTTTTTAATGTAGTGGCCTTTTGAGAAATGCCTTTTTTTTTCCACTTTAAAATTAAAGCATTAGACTAATCAGCCAGCCAGCTTTCAAATATGACACTTAAAGACAAGTCAAGTCAAAGGTGCAGACAACTGATGTTACCAGACATGGATGATCCTTCTGTCCAATGTGGAGCAAAGTTTTCATTTCTTCCTGCCTTTGCAGAAAGGAGAAGCAGGGTTTCATAAAATCTACCAGCAGAAGGTGGGTTGGAGTTGACTTGAGTGGGGAGATTTTCCCGATAGGAAAGCTTCTGTTTCCTTTCTTTTGGTCCTGTATTGTTAGAACATGATCCACCCTGATCCAGAAGACAGACCTTCTGCAACAGCTCTGGCCAGAAGTCAAGTTCTTCGGCCCTTCCTGGGGAAAACAGAGGAGCTCCAGCAGCAGCTGAACATGGAAAAGTTTAAGATAGCCACACTGGAAAGGTATATTTGGCGTGTCGGAGTCAAGAAAGAATCTATTTCAAACCATTTACACTGGTACAATTGGTCTGGTGTGTCTCTCTGGATTTAAATTTGTATATATTCTGCCCACAAGGAGACTGGCAACACAAGGTTTTTTGTAGCATGAGTCTGGGCAGCTCTGTGACTAGTAGCTTATGAGGAAATTCCAGGTAATGTAAAGGAAGCAGGAAGGAAGAACACAAAGGAATACCATTGGTAAAGAAGACTTAAGATTCTGAGGGACAGCAGGTATCAAAGCAACTGGTGGTGATTACCTATTGTATGATAACCTAGATAAGGTAAATAGAGACCTATTTTAGGAACCCACTAAGTTTCAGGGACAGGTAGACAGACATCCTGTCCTGATACATACTGAAGGCAAGTGGTATTTTTCTGAGGAAAGAAAGCAACTTGATTTCTTATTTATGTAGGCCTATGTTCATTTATTGATATACTCCTTCATTAAACAAGTGAGAATTAATTAGATAGGGTAAAGTTGGGGAAGATGTCAGGCATGATGTTTGAGAAATAATTCTGAAGGAATTGTTACACCATGTGCTGTTGAAAACAAGAAAGAAGAAAATGAAAGATAGTCCTTGACTGAAATAAAGTTAGAAGTCCAACTTCTCCTGGACACAAAATCCATTTTGGAAAGATAAACTTGAAATTTTAAAATGCCTCTGAAATAGTTTCTTGGTTATAAGTTGCAGACTCTCAGCCTTTAGTCAGGTAATTATTCCCAGCAGACTGTTACTACTTTTCTACTGTAGTTTTGAGTTTCATTGTACCAGATAAGAAGCATAGTACAAAGTACTTTATTCATATACATTTTTCACAAGACTATGAATGACTCTTAAGATGTGGTGTATTATGTGAAGCTGGCTCTGGAGGTACAAGTGACTATCATCAGCCAGTACTAGTGATGGGGCGGATGGTATCTTGAAGCTGTTTAGACCAGTGAATGGTAAACTTTTTTTGAAAAGGGCTAGCTAGTAAATATTTTATGCTATGCAGGCCATATGATCTCTGCTGTAATGACTCAGCCCTGCTGTTCTGTAAAATCAGTCATTGATTTTATATATATGTTGTATAATGTATATATGTTATATGAACATACATAAATGAGTGGCTGCAATAACAGTTTTTTATATATATAAAAAAAGGAGGCAGGCCAGATTTTACCCACGGACTGTTTGTTGAAAGCTGTGTTGAAAGCTGTGGGGGCATAGCTTTCACATGTAGCCTGAAGAGTTGTTCATTTTTTAATTTTAAAGACAATTTATGCTCCAGTTAGTAGGATTTGAGAAATTCAATCTACTTTGTGCCATGGCTTGTATGTGTCAACATTTTCAATGACAATCATAACCATAGAATTGAATTTTGTTTTGCATATAGTTCAGACTTATTTCTGTAAAACTGAAATAAAAGGAGAAATCTATATATTGTGATCATAAATACTACCATTAATTGGAGGAACAAGTAACATATGCTTTCCCCTTTCATCCTAGGGAACTGAGAGAAGTCCAGCAGGCCCGAGGCCCCCAGGTAGACATCCACCATGGTGACCCTGGGGTCTCTGGGACCCACACAGAATCAACAAACACAAAACGTCTGGTGGGGAATAAGAGTAGGAAGTCTTCAAGTTTTACCTGTGGGGAATCTTCCCCATAAGAACTCATTTCACATCAGCCATAAAGCCTTTAGATACAGATGCAGACCTCTTAGAAAAACCCAAAGATTTCAAAAGCGACTCTAATTTAGCATCTGTAGTCAAGATCATAAAGCTACTAAGGCTTCTTATTAGCAGTGGTCTCAGGTACAATAATTGGTATCTATTTCTTCTGGTGTTACATTCCTAATGCCACCTACTGACAACTTACTTAATTCTCATGTTTTCTGATGCAAAATGAGAAAACATGGTCCTTTGGATTGAAAGGAGAAAAGGAAACATCTTTGGCTTGTCCCAAAGGCTCAGAAGTCATTGCCAATTTCTCACCAAGGATTACTGGTAAAGGATCCCAGGAACTCTGCCTACACCTAGAAAGGAATAAACTTTGACTGAGTTGAAGTAACAGCTTACGAGAAGATATGCCTGGATTTCAACAGTACTCCCCAGGTTATATTATGCTTCTCCTAAAAGACTTCCCTGCCCCTTTAAGCAAGTGTCACTCCATTCCTAATGAGTTTTCTGAATGGAGGCAATGTCTTTACCTGATACTGTATTTATTAAATAAATGGCTCCATTATTATATGAGGAGGTTAGAAATAAGACTATATATAACGTGGACATTCCTGAGCTGTTTATTAACTTGTGAAATGAAAGCACTGGAGGAAAGGGGTCAAGGAAAATTTGATGTGTCTGTTCTCTGAATCTGTTTGTCCTTTCTTGTGGCTGATTCTGATTGGTTTTAATTTTCTGGATATCACCATTTTTCTTGGTTTTTAGCAGAATTTGGCTTGTTTCCTGTGATTTTAGCATATTTTACCCAAATCCTTTTCTCTATGTACATTTTAAAGGACTAGAATCTTTACAAATAAAGGATTTTATTTTGTTCAAAGCCAAATATGGGTAAAGTACGCTTCTTTGTAATATGTAACAAAGAATGAGAAATTTATGTGGGAAAATTTTGTATGAGTGGGTAAGAGAATTTAGTAGATCAGTAGTAACAGGTTTTGGTGACAACACCCAACTAATAGGTGCTATTAATTGTCACAAAAGCTAATAATAGTCAGGCTTGGCTATAAAATGATATTGGTCACGAAGATATTTGGTAACTTCTCTTTATGTAGTTTTAATGAAGGTAGCCTATTAATAATTAATAGCTTTTCTTCTGGTTTTCTTCTTTTCCCTTCACTTTTAGAAGCTAAGTTTTTTTAAATTAAATAAACCCTCATATCATTCTTTGTTGTGCCTTGGAATAGCAATATCTTCCACACAATTAACTGTATATAGAGTTCCTCCTGTAGACTATTGCCATTTTTATTTATTTATTTTAATTAAAAAATTTTTTTTCTTTTATTCATATGTGCATACAATGTTTGGGTCATTTCTCCCCGCTTCTCCCTGTCCCCTCCTTTACCCTCCCCCCACCCCTTCCCTCTCCCCCTTTACCCCCTCGCTACCAGGCAGAAACTATTTTGCCCTTATCTCTAATTTTGTTGAAGAGAGAGTAGAAGCAATAATAGGAAGGAACAAGGGTTTTTGCTAGTTGAGATAAGGATAGCTATACAGGGAGTTGACTTACATTGCTTTCCTGTGCATGTGTGTTACCTTCTAAATTAATTCTTCTCGAACTAACCTTTTCTCTAGTTCCTGGTTCCCTTCTCCTATTGGCCTCAGTCGCTTTAAAATATCTGCATTAGTTTCTCTGCATCGAGGGCAACAAATGTTATCTAGCTTTTTGGGTGTCTTACCCATCCTCATCTCTCTCTTGTGGGGTCTCACTTTTATCTTGTGATCAAAGTTCAATCACCTTGTTGTGTTTGCCTTTGATCTAATGTCTGCATATGAGGGAGAACATATGATTTGGTCTTTTGGAAAGCCAGGCTAACCTCACTCAGAATGATGTTCTCTAGTTCCATCCATTTGCTTGGGAATGATAACACTTCATTCTTCTTCATGGCTGCATAAAATTCCATTGTGTTTAAGTACCACATTTTCTTAATCCATTCATCAGTAGAAGGGCATCTTGGCTGTTTCCATAACTTGGCTATTGTGAATAGTGCTGCAATAAACATGGGTGTGCAAGTGCCTCTGGAGTAATCTGTGTCACATTCTTTTGGGTATATCCCCAAGAGTGGTATTGCTGGATCATATGGTAGATCTATGTTTAGATTTTTAAGAAGCCTCCAAATTTTTTTTCCAGAGTGGTCGTACTAGTTTGCAGTCCCGCCAGGAGTGTAAAAGGGTTCCTTTTTCCCTGCATCCTTGCCAACACCTGTTGTTAGTGGTGTTGCTAATGGCCATTTTTATTTATGATAAAGCATTGCCACCCCTGGTGTCTACCACTGGATGCCCATAGCTGAAACACTTTTAATTTAGAGGCAAATAAAAACAAAGCCATAGTAACTTTGCATGTCTGAGCATATATAATATGCACTTCTCTTTTTCAGTCGCTTTATAAATGGTGAAAGTCTTGTATTCATCTACTTCTGTCAGGGATTAAAGCCGATTAAAGCCACAATTCTGTCACCACATGTCATTGGGAAATTCTTTTCTGGGGAACACAGAAAGTCTACAGTTATGTTAAATTATATGCATGCCTGTGTGTGTGTGTGTGTGTGTGTGTGTGTGTGCGCGCGCGCATGCGTGTGTGTGCATGGTATGGAAATGTTTCTGGGCTTGCTGGGTGCCAGTGGCTCATGCTTGTAATCCTAGCTACTTGGGAATCTTTGATTGGGAGGACTGTAGTTCAAACCCAGTCCGGGGAAATAGTTCAAGAAATCTCCATCTCCAAAGTAACCAGAGCAAACTGAACTGGAGGAGTGGCTCAAGTGGTAGAGTGGGTGCTTTGCAAGTAAGAAGCCCTGAGTTCCAAACTCCAGTCCCACCAAAAAAAAAAAAAGTTTCTGGGCTTCCCTATTAAAATGTAAATGGTAGGTTCTTGAAGCAGTATTTCTATACAAAATACATTTGAGCCACTCTTCCAGTTTCTTGATTTTTCTTTTTTTTTGGCGTTGAGATTTTAGGTATATTTGAATATCTTCCTGGATTTTTTCCTCCTGTTTTTTTAATCTGGCCCATGATCTGGGTCTTTCTATAGCTGTCCTTGTTTCAGAACCCACTGTGTTTTGATATTCACAACAGATTCTCTGTACTCTAGGAGCTTATAATCAATGGAAGAGATGAGGCATCATTAGGATGTTTTATATTATAAGATAGACTGAAAGCAAAGAAATCAGAACAGAGAAAGGAATGACTATTTTTTAAAATTATTTTGCAGTACTGGGGTTTGAACAGCATGACCTTGTGCTTGACAGACAGGTATGTGCCAGGATCTCAGAGGTCCTTGACCCGAAAGGGCACAGGGAAGGAATGAACAGACAATACACATTTCAAGGGGGCCAGAAGGCTGATGACCAACTGGCAAATTTTTTACTTTTGCATCAGGCTTAATAAGCAGTACAAAGTAGGAAGTTACAATGCAGGGAGAGTTTCTATGCCTGGGAAACAATGCCCTCTACCTGAAAAACAATGTTCTTGCTCCAATCTCCTAGGTTTCATATCTGAAACCTGGACCCTCCCAGTTTCACTAGTGAAATTCAGACCTCCCTGTTTTCACCTAGTTTTGCCTGGTTTCACATACACAAAACCTGGGCCTGGTTGCTAAGGACATGTCACCTGTTCCTAACCTTTCCTAAACAAATACCAGGGCTGGTGGAGTGGCTCAAGAGGTAGAGTGCCTGCCTAGCAAGCATGAGGTCCTGAGTTCAGACCCCAGTCCCACCAAAACAAACAAATACCTTCAGGTTAATGTCTCTTTTCTCCAGACAAAGGGGGCTACTCCATGTTTCCTCAAAACCTCAGTGAGAGACATGGTGCACCTGCAGTCCCTGACCATGTCAGGATCTTTCTAAGCCAAAATAACCTTGTCAGATTGTGGCTCATGGCTCCCAAGAGATATGATTACCATTTAGGCCACTCTGCCAACCCTTTTTTGCATTGGTTATTTTTGAGATAGGATTTTGATTTTTATGCCCTGGCCAGTTTGGACTTCGATCCTCCTATTTATACTTTCCTGCAGCTGGGATGACAGGCCCATGCCACCACAATCAGATATTGGTTGAGTTTGGGGGTCTCAAAAACTTTTTGCCTAGCCTGCCCTTGAACTGTGATCCTCCTGATTTCCGTGTAGCTAGAATTATAGGCTCGAGTCACCATTTCTGGCCAGGAATGACTATTTGAGTAGAGAATTTTGAAGGTGTGGGAGAGAACATTTCAAATGCTGAGGACAGCTACAGCAAACCAAGGCTGAAGTGCCTGGTGAGTTGGGAAGAAGGGTCTATTCCATAATGGAATTAAGCACTTTTAACAAAGTTTCTCCATGACATACAGCTTTAATTTTTTTTGCATGTTTTAATGTGCATCTCTTTGTTAAGGAAGGAAAAGAAAGTAACAGCACTTCAACTTTCTTCAGTCAACAGTTTAAGGAGAATATTTATTGGTAATTACTTTCTGGGAGAAAAGGAAGATTAGCCAAGACACTCCACTCAGATATTGTTTATAAAGTTGAAAGAGTTTGCTCAAGTTTATCCATTTTCAATTTTCATGGTGCTTTTTTTTTCATTTTTTTTCTTTAAACAATCTTTCCCACATTCTGCAAGGCAGAATGAGGGAGATATTAGTGGGAAATGAAGAAAGAACTTTTAGGACCTTGGATAAGGAAATACATGTGAGGTGATCAGGGAGGAAGATATAAAGATTATCCTAAAATTCATGTCTGCATTATTAAAACAAATGAGCTTAAAGTGGGGAAAACAGCTTTGGAAAAAAGGTGAATTTAGTTTTTCATTTGACTGAAATACTCAAGAGGAAACAGTACTTTTGAAGAGAAAATCCTTGGAGAGCACTGAAAGTTGTAATATAGTTGGTGAGATGTGGTATTATTGATACCTGTGCAGGTTGAAGGTAGTATAGCATGATGTTTCAGAGACTCAATTTTGTAAAGGAAGTATATGGAGATAAAAGTCTCAGATAAACTGGTGAGCTAGATCTTTTGGAACAGATGAAGGTCTAAGTTGGAAAACGTGTTAAGTGAAACCATGTTCAGATTTTTACATTAAAGGGCAGGAATGGGTCTGATTTTCTTGTTAGCATGATCTGGAAATTGCCTCTCCTCTCTGCAAGTTGGATAGTGCTAGGACCCGGAGGTGGAGGGGGATGAAGGCCAACACTCCATCTCTGCTGGCTTCGACTCTGCAAGGTGTGGGACTCTATCCCACACTCCTTCTTTCCCCAGATGGCCAAGATTAGGGCAAAGAAGGCAAAACTTGAAGGGCCCCAATGAGTTCATCAATCAAGATGAAAGAGATTTCAATGTAATATTTTTTAAAATATTAAAATTAACGAAAAAATCCCCTAGAACAAAATTATCAAAATCTATTAGGTAAAGTTGAAGTTAGTTAAACTTATTTAAGATTGTCTCCAGGTCAAGAAAACTTGTCAGATAAGGCAAGTCTCTCAACTGAAACAAGATAAGCAAAAAGTAGATTTTGAAAACACCAGTTTACTTCAACTAAAGCCAGGAAAGTAATATAATACCATTTTGGCTTAAATAAAATAGACTTAATGTAAGTTTTAATACATCTACTTTGAAATTTTGCAATATTTAACTACTTTAATATTTCAGAAAAATTAAAAAAATATAAAAACGTATGTAAGGGGCTCACACTCCACGGCCCCAATATGGCTTGGGTTCTGTAATTAAAACTTTAACATTTTCTTCCTCACGGATTTCCTCCATTTTGACTTTTTAAAATAGCACATTGAAACATTTATCTAGATCGTCAATATTTTTGGCGCCACCTTAATCTGAGCGCTTTCTCTATACCTCTTTTTCGGCTTTTCTTACAGCTTTAGGAGTTCTGGGTCGGTTTTTTGTTTCTCCAGCAGAGGCACGATTCTCAATTTCACATATCTAGCCATTTCTCCAGTCGCGCTGGAAACCGCATTAAATCGTTTCATTGATAACCTCAAATTTGAAGGACTTCACCGCTTAGCGGCGTTGATCCATCCACGTCTTCCTGGAAAGAAGTTCCCGGAACTCTCAAGTTAGGGGACGTATTTTCCGAGGTGCTTGCCGGCAGCATTTCCACGGCACACGCCATTGACTTCCTGTTTTCTCTTCCTATCGCGAGCCTTGCGTTATCTTTGCGCCGGAAGTGATACCCTGGCTGGCTGGTGCCTTGGCGTGAGCGTCAGGTGAAGGAGGGAAGAAGGAAGTGCACGAGTCGTATGGTGGGTGTGCACTCTGGGCCTGTGTGAGTTGGGAGGTGATGTTGAGTCGTCGTTTGGCCCTTTCACTTGTGCTGAAGGGTCCGCAGTTTCTGCACAGCGCCTTAAATTGGCGGGTGGGAGCGCCACCTTGGGAAAGGACGCGGGGTCCATCCCAGCCGTGAGGCTAGGAAGCCAAGGAGGTTTGCAGCGCTAACGGGAATGGAGGCAGTAATTTTTGTAGCAGCGGGTTTCATATTTAAATCTCTTAATGACAGTAATATTTATTGAGCCCTTACTGTGTGTTGGGAACTGTTCTAGGAATTTAGACTATCACAGTGAACAAATCAATACAAAAACTCTCCCCAAGACAAAAATTTGAGAAGACGGTGAAGTGAAAGTGGGATTAATTCACACTCAGAATTTCTTTTGTATGGGAGAAGAAAGTTAAGTGGGATCAAAAAGACCTACAGGTGTGAGTCTTTTTGGGGGTGGAGGGTGCTGGAATATTGAAAACAATATTCCACGAAATATTGCACGAAAACAATGCAAACATGGCTACTTTTGATACAAGAGCCAGAGAAAAACAGTAACGTGTATGGCTGGCTGCCCACCCCAGTGACCTTCCTGATAATGTGCAGCACCTTCCCCCAGTCCTCCTTCGCATTTTTTCTAATGCCCATCCCCCTCCAATCTCCCTTTTCCCACCACAGGATGCTTAAAAGCCCCAGACTGTAAGAGAGGTGTGCCCTTGCCCCTCTCAGAGTGTTACTCTGATGGCCGAGGGTCCTTCTCAGGTCTCCTCTCCCTAATAATGACTTGCTGCTTGCAAAGGTCATAGATTCTTTCTTGGTCTGTGTCTCTTGCGTCTTCATTTTCCTTTCAGAGGGGAGAAGAGGGGCAGGAGATTTTCTTCAAGCATATAGTGATATTGATGTGTTTCGGTCACAAGTTGGGCATGCATTAAAGCATGAAGGCAGTTAGGAATTTAGGACCAGTGATCTTGTGCTTTTGCTATAAATTGTAATATATATCTTTTTTTTCCCCTTTAGGAAAATCCTGAAGATTAGATTGTAAGAAAAGAAAATAGAAGCCATGTTTCGAAGACCTGTATTACAGGTAGTCACTTTTCTATGTTGTTGCTGAGCTGTGTTATCATCAGCTATAGTGATCAGATTTCTTTAAGCTTTTGGTTGCAGGGAGAGACCTTTAAGCGTACCCACCACCTTAACATGTACTTATTTGGTAGGGTTGGGGCTGGATTTTGCCAGGTTTTCCTGAACATCTACCTTCCTCTGTTAATAAAGTCTTGCCTCTTACTATCTTCCTACACTGAGTAGAGCAACTCAGGTCTCAGTATCACTACAAGTTCACAATTTCCAAAGCTCATTCTAATTCCGTGCAGTTTGGCTTCTCATACATTTGGCCTGTCTTAAGACAGCCTAATTTTGCCATTTTTCCTCAGTGTTGTTGGGTACCAAGTTCTGTGAATGCTCCCAGTAACACCTCTCTCTTATCCACCTCTTAAAACTAATGAAGAGGAGTCTTTACTCCCATTTCCTGTGTGGGAAGTAGGAGATGTTTCTCTCATTTTCCATTTCTCATTTCTTTATCCTGTTACACTAAAATAAATCACTAAAACTTAAAAAACAAAACAAAACAAAAAACTAATGATCCTCTATGAAACCTGTTGTCCTCTCCGCCCTACTCTCAAGTTGACTTTAGATTCTCAGATTCTTACTTCAACCTGAATGTACTTTTAACCTTTTTAAAATTATGTGTTAAAATGTGAAGCATAGAAAAGTTACTATCTTGATAATGCTCCAGTGTTAAGATAACTTTAAACCCAAATATAAAAGCATAAAAGTTTAATTTAAAAAATTATCCAAGTTGAATAATCCTTTCCCTATTTCTATTTCTCTAGTAAGTCTTGATTTTTGTGTGTGCCTAAAATGAGACACTGCTGTCTCTGGCTGTTCTGAGCACTTAAATTCGTATTGTTCATGATTCACGTACTAGTTAGCAGCTTGTTTCCTGTAGTATGCTATAATTTAAATCTTTGTTTTCTTACCCACTCTCCAGATGTTAGTGCTAGTTTTAAAACCAACAGGACACCAGGAATAGATGTTGCTTTATTGGTGGATTTCTGCTTTTTATAGTAACACTTGAGAACTGTTTCTGTGATAGGTTGTCTTAGCTCTCTAAATTCTGAATCCAGTGATGTGTAATGACTTGAATCTATTCCAAATAGCCTATAGCAGTTAATTTTGGGGATTAACAGCTAATTGCTTTTGAATGTATTCCAAATATTCCAGCAGTTGTTTTGGGGGATTAACAGTTCTTAGTGAATCTGTGAACATTTGTTAATGAATCTATTTATGAATATATCCATTAGAAAACACTATTTCCTACTTTCCTTTTGCCTAATGATGTACAAAATTAGATAAATCTAAATTTCTTAACTCTATAACAAAAATATAATAATAAAAATTGTATAAATAAAAAATATTTTATATATATAAATTATTTTATATATATAAATATATTTATATTTAAAAAAATAAAAGGTTGGTCTATTGAATGTATATTGCACTTTTTGCTTTTCTCTGTGTCTCTTGCTAATGAAAGCTGGATGTTTTCAATACTTGGAAGCAACATTTAGGTACAGGCTATTTACAATTATTGTCATCCTCTCTCTTATAGAACTCATGCCATTTTGATTTTACCTGTAAGCACTGAAGTGCCATATTCAGAAAGATTGGCTCAAAAGAACAGGAGAAGACTATAAATTAACTTTTGGACATGTGCTCTTTAGTCTTCTTTGAATCTTTGGCTTCTGCTGTAGGCTGCTCTGAAAGTGTTTTTGCTTGGTCCTTTTGGGACTATATTTTGGGAGAATATGGGAAGAGTGTTCTCTTGTCTTCTCTTCTAGAGCAAATAGGAACTACTGACTAAATGACACATGAATATAAGCGATCTTCTGTCTGCATTTGCCTTTCCTAAAAACTTAAAGCCACAGTACCTATTGTTCTCCTGTAGGTGCTTCATCAGTTTGTAAGACATGAGTCTGAAATATCCAGCAGTTTGGTTCTGGAAAGATGTAAGTAGCTATTTTCTAAGTTTATGGTGCTATTTATAGTAGTCAAATAATGTTCTCAAAGAGCTATAGAAGAAGTATGCTGTGTTTAACCATGTTAACAATTGTGTGTTTGGCTTATATTTGCTCCTCAGATTTTGGCCCCATTAGGCTATGGGGAACTAGGATGAATTAAGCCCTTCTCCTTTTCAGGCAGAGATTATTCACTCTTGTCTTCGCTGTCCCACTGGAAGAATTTCCTCAAGTCATATTTGATTATTTGAGTCTTCCAAAGTTATGTTAGACTGTGAAAGATAATGTTTCACAGAAGTATTTCTCTCAGTAATAAAGATTTTAGGCCTCAGATTTGTTCTTTTAGCGCCACAGATAGTTGGAAAAAAAAAAGATACCTTGAAGAATATAAGATAGAGTTTGGATTGTTTTGGTGGGGCTGTTTTCTCTGACTATTCTCTCTTTTCTTGTCAACTTTTTTTCCCCTCTCAACCTTCCTTTATTTACCCCTTTCTTTTAACTTGAGTTTTGCTTAATGCAGACGTTAAAGTTGAAGTACTATTTGTAGTTGTTCTTTTTCCGGATATTTCTCTCACGTTCAAGTGTGAAGTTAACTCTGGCTACAATAATGAATTACAGTAGACTGAGTGACTTAAACAATAGACATTTATTTCTCACTTCTGGAGGCCAGAACTCCAAAATCAAGGTGTCAACATGGTTGGGCTCTTGCTGAGGGTCTTTTTCCTGGCTTGCAGATAGTTGGCTTCTCACTGTCTTCACATGGCAGAGAGAAAGCTCTGATATCCCGTCATGGAGGCCTTACCCTCATGACCTCTTCTAAATCTAGTTAACCTGCCCAAGACCTACCTCTAAATACTGTCACACTGGGTTGTAAGCTTCAAGAAACAAACTTTGTGGGGCACACAACGTGTGTTCCATAGCAGGTTCTCAATTTCATTTCATCTCCACATTATGTTTCAGCTTTGAATCGTGTGCAGTTACTTGGGAGAGTGGGTCAGGACCCTGTCATGAGACAGGTCGAAGGAAAAAACCCAGTCACAATATTTTCTCTAGCAACAAATGAGATGTGGCGATCAGGGGACAGTGAAGTATACCAAATGGGTGAGTATAAAAGCCTAGGGTTTAATTTTTTTGCAATAAATATACATTATTGCCAATTATGTAGAAATAAGCTACTTTTAGATAAAGTATTCTTCAGTTTTGTTCTTTTAGAATTTATGAGTTTGGTTTTGCTGGGCATGTTGTCCGTTTGATATTTATTGTACTCATTGGCATTTGTAACCATGTTTCCTACTCTTGTAATTTAGGTGATGTCAGTCAAAAGACAACATGGCACAGAATATCAGTGTTCCGGCCAGGCCTTAGAGATGTAGCGTATCAGTATGTGAAAAAGGGGTAAGTTAAAGAAGGAAGAATCTTTTGGCTCAATGTTTTAAAGCAAGGAATATGTAGCTCCTCCTTTATTTCTGAGTACCTTGCAAGAGATACTTATCTGGTCATGGTGGTACACACCTGTTATCCCAGCACTTGTGGGGACCGAGGCAGGAGGATTGTGAATTTGAGGCCAGGATAGGCTACATAATGAGACCCTGTCTCAAAAATCCCAAAACCAAAACAAAGCAAAAAGGTATTTATTAATTATTTAATCCTATGTGCATGGAATATCATTGTGTGTGTGACTAGTTCAAAAATCCAAATATAAAACATGGCTTTAGCCTTCTGAGAACATGTAATTTAGGGCAAATAAGGTATGTACCTACATAGAAATTGATGAGACAGGAGAGAAGGTAAAGTGTACTACATGTCACTATAACACATACTTTTTGGGCACCTGCAGCTTACTTTTAGGAGGTCCTATGCGTGTGTGATCAGGGATCCTGAAGTCTTGATTCTTGGCATCCACGTGATGTCTTTAGTAGAGAGTCTGGAATGTCTCAGTTCTGACACACTTGAATTATTTTGTATTTGGTAATTTTTTCTATAAGCTTAATTTGTTTTTGGAATGCTTGGATTGATGATGTATGAAAAGTATCTTCTCCAGACTCTTAAGGACAATAGTGTGTGTTAACAGCAGTTGTATTAACAGTAAAGGTGTTTAGAAATATACTTGTTTTTTAGAAGTAAGATATATTCATGAAAAATAGTTTCAGCAGTGATTAAAATTTCCGATTCTTTTCAGCAACTGCATACCTTTACTTCATACGTATCTCCATTGCCTTTCATGTATGTATATATGAATATGCGCACATACACACATACAAACAGTATATTTCAAGGATGAGGTCAGCATACAGTTTCACCTGATTGAAGAGTGTGCGTGTGTGTGTTTTCTTTGGTACCTGATCATTTTACTAGTTTGTCTTCTTTCTGGTGGTGGGGGACACTGAAAACTGTTGCCATTGTGGTCATTTTCTACTCTGTAAAATCATAATTATGATTTTACATATGTTTGGCTCTTTAGATGGTATAGAAATAGTGCTAGTAATTAAGCTGAAGACCTTTGTTTTTGAATATGATAATCTTGTTCCCTTGAGAATAGGTTTACTATAGAAATGAGCTGATAATTAAAATTAACAAATCAATAAAATCTGTTAGGGAGTCCTAAATGAGAGGTTAAGGAAAATGACACATTGGAAATCATTTCTAGAGATTTAAAGGATGCCACTAAGTTGCTTTTCCTTCTTCATGGCCTTAAGTTACCTTTTAAAAAAAAATTGGCTTAACATTTTGAATATATTTTTTTAAACTTCTATAAGGAAAAAAGCTAAAGAATGATAACATTGTCATTCTTTTTTTGAAATTTCACTTTGGGACAGCATTTTGCTAAGTTGTTCAGGCCAGCCTTGAACTTGTGATCCTCTTGCTTCAGCCAGCCCCAACCCCCCAATTGCTGGGATTACAGTTATGTAACACCATGCCTGGCTAACTAGATGTATCAAGTTTTCTTGTACATTGTGTTTCTGTACTTTTAATTTTGAACTTTGAGAAGTTATAGCAAAAATGAGATTACATATAATTATATATTTTATCTTTTGTGTGTATTCATTACCACACCTAGATTGATACTTTCTGGTAAAGCAATAATAAAATCTCCAGACTAAAAACTGAATTTTATTTATATCAGGTCTCGAATTTATGTGGAAGGGAAAGTAGACTATGGTGAATACATGGACAAAAACAATGTAAGGCGACAAGCAACGACAATCATAGCTGGTAAGAAGCTTGTGATGATGGTTCTTTTTTTTTTCCTTTAAAAGTTTGACTGTGTTTTAAGTAACTTTATATGGGACTGTAAGCAGATGCCTACAAGATCATAGACAGTTCACCAGAAGAATTTGTAGTTCTGATTTTTCTGTTTTCTGAGATTTTACACATATATCTTTTCCTTTAGAAAATTGTCTTTCTATTCAATAGTTCTAGTTAACAAGTAACTTTTGAATAAAGTGTAAAATTGAATTGTCCATGCTAGTAGTTATTAAAAGCCATCAGAAGTCTTAATTTCAGTGTCATTTTTAAAGGACATGGCTTAAATATGTGTCAAGACTGTTCCATTAATACGAGGCATTAAACATTTGTGTACATTTATTCAGAACCTCTTTAGAGCTTAATATGCTGAAATTTCTATTTGAAATTAAATTTTTATTCTCTTTTAACAAAATACAAAACTAGAAAAGTAAAGATAACTAGAAAAGCTAAACACATAAGTTAAGAAGGTACTCATTGTTGTAAAGTTTTCAAAGTTTTGAAAATATTTTAAGTTTTGAAAACAGTATAACCCTTTGGACATCTTTAAGTTGACATTAGGAAATGTTCTTTATATAAAATCATTATGTTTAGATTAATGGAATCTAAATACCATAGCAATTTGCTACCTGTCATCTTATGAAAAAAATTAACAAGCTGGTCAAATTTTCACATTTTTCCTTTTCCTTGGAACTTCTTTTACCATTGCTGTTTTCTCCTCAAAAGTATATCTTAGCTGTGCATGGTGGTGCATGCCTGTAATCCCAGCATTCGTGAGGGTGAAGCAGGAAAATTGCAATTTCGAGGCCAGCTTGGGCAAATTTAGTGAGATTCTGTCTCAAAAACCAATTAACAACAACAAAATGAAGGGAAAGCAAAAAAATCTAGGGCTATAGTTTGAGTGGTAGAGCCCCTGATTATAGGGCCTGGGTTCACTCCTCAGTACTGAAAAAATAAGTTCAAGGTATGTCTTAATATAATGTATTGAATAGTTAAGAATTTTGAATAGTTAAGAATTTTGAAGCCTGATGGTGGCGACTCATGTCTGTAATCCTAGGTACTTGGGAGGCTGAGATCAGCAGGATTATGGTTCCAGGCCAGCATGGGCAAATAGTTTGAGAAGTCTCATCTCCAAAATAATCAAAATAGACTGGAGGTGTGGCTCCAGGAGCAGAGTGTCTGCTTTGCAAGCTGGAATCCCTGAGTTCAAACCCCAGTCCCAACAACAACAGAGCAGAAAGTATCTTTTATTCATCTTACCAAATTTGTCTGTAACGAAAAATATATACATCTAGTCATTCCTTGGATATCCTTGGGGGATTGGTTCTAGGATCCTCCACAGGTACCAGAATCAGTGAATGCTCAAGTCCCTTATATAAATACTATTTGCATGTAACCTACACATCCTACAAAATACTTTACCATCTCTAGATGATTTATAATACACATACAAGGCAAATGACATGTAAAGTGTTGTACTGCAACGTTCAGGGTATATTGGCAAGGAAAAAGGCCTGCCTGTCAGTGCAGATGCGGTTTTTTATTTTCAGATAATTTTGATCTGTGGTTGGTTGAATATGTGGATGTGGAACCCATGAGTATAGAAAGGTGACTCCGTAAAAGAAATTTTAAGACCTTAAAAAGTAAGTGAAAAAGACTGTGAAAGTAAGGCTCTAAAAGATATGTTTCTCTCAGACTGTCATTACAGTTGTTTTTAATATTGAATTGGCCAGTACAATATATTAATATAAAAACTAAAATTTTACTAGAAGTATATCTTTTAATGAAGTAGATTATGCTTTTTGTACCTGGTTAAATTGCTAAAACTAGGAATTTTTTTTTTATTAAGGGCAGTACAGGAGTTTGAACACACTTGCCAGGCAGGCATTCAGCCTCTTGAAGCATTTCCCCAATTCCTAAAATTAGGCATTGTTAAGCCTCAGTTTAGTTCTTTTATTTGTTTTTATTGATATTAAACACAGGAAACCTATTTTTATGAATTGATAGGAATAAAGGAAATCTTATAGTAATGTCTCAATACTTACGAACTTCTGAAATATGCTAAAATTAGGTAGACTAGTGAAACGATCTCCCACCATTTATTTTCATCACTTACCAAGTGATTGCCAGTATTATTTCTTCTCTGTCCTCAACCACTTTTCCTTACCTGCATTAGTTTGAACTGAACCCCAGATACTATGTCACTTCATAAATTTCAGTAGGTATTTCTGAAAGACAACGTGTATATTCAAATAGAAAGTTGTGATACTATTTATCATGCTTAATATTGTGAGATTATTGTTAAAATTCTATTAAATGTCACAGTATTCAAATTTTCTGGATTTCATCATAAATACATACCTATATATTGTATCACATGGCTTGTATATATCTTAAGTCTCTCTTAATTTGCAGATTTCCTTTCTCTTGGCTCTAGAGTTCATGTCTTAACTACTGTACACATAGGTAAATTATAATTTGTTATAAATAATAAGTACATATTTTCCTGCTAGTAAGATTCTTTGAAAGTCTATTGACTTTGAAAACTAATGTAGGTATTTTCCTACTCTCATTTATTGTCCAATATAAACCAAATGTGTAGACAAACTGGATTGTTCTAGTATGTTGGGTTGTTATGAACCAAGCCAAACAAAAACATTTTAGATTGTCTGCCATTTTGCTTTTTCATATTACCAGTTTTAACTAACCTTGTTAGTTGCTGTGTTTATGGCTATTCAATAAAACTGAATAGACACTGAGTGATGTTTGAATGGAAAAGATAGAGTTTAATTTGGTTGATCTGTTTTGTAGGTCATATTTTTATTGACTAGGGGTCAGACCTGAACTTAAATGAACCATCAGTAGGTGGCACTGTTGTCCTTTCAAACAGTCTTTAATTCTAATAATCTTTTTTCAAGTTACTATTCTGTATCAAAATACTCTTATTTTTCTAGTCATGAAGTTGCTAACAGATACTCATTACATAATAACCATTTTTGCACCTATTTAGTTTTAAGAATCTTAAATTTTTGGAGTTATATAGGAAATACTGCTTGAGCTTTTTTCCTTTGCTTATCGTTAGCTAACTACCTTGGAATTGTGTCTGTAGAGCAGTAGCTGAGGTGTTTGGATAAAAAATGCTTACTCTGTAATATTTACTAGTAAAAATATCCCCCAAAATGGGTGTAAATTATTCTGTCTTAAATTTTAAAAGTTAAAAAAAATGAGTTTTTAACTTACTTACAAGCATAGGCTAAATAAATCTGTAGCTAGGAAAGAAAGGCCATGTGTTGACCTGTCCTTTCCTCCATAGCTGTAGCATATGGAACTTCAGAGTTCATGCCTTAACTATCGTACACCTAAGTAAATTATTTCTTATAAATAATAAGCATATATTTTCCTGCTAGTAAGTTTCTTTGAAAGTATATTGACTTTGAAAACTAATGTAAGTATTTTCCTACATTAGTCCTCTTCTGAGTGTGAATATGGTGTTTCTTGGGTACCCAAACTTGTGACCAGTTCTTTTTATGAGAACTTATTGCTGGGAAGATTTTAACTGTCTTCAGGAAAGACAAGAAATAACCCACTTTTTCTAACAAAGCCTGAATATTGTTGAACAAACAACCAAAGCCCAACTTTTAGTTCTGCTTATGCTTATTTTATATACCTTTCATCAGCACAACAAAAGTTATTTAACACTGTGAAAATATGTAATAGCACTAAAGTATATATGCATTAGGGAAATTACTAAATGAAATGAAGAAAGAGTTCTGAAAATAATTTTTATACTTTGCTTCTTTACAGATAACATTATATTTCTGAGTGACCAGACAAAAGAAAAGGCATAAGAAGGGATGAGTCTTCTTTGACCGTTGTTTGGTACTATCTCATTTCTAAATCATGTATAGTCTTTATAATTTCCAAGGACAATAATTAAAATGCTCTTTTTTATAAAATGAGTGATAATATTTTTCATGATACTACCCCTGCTCTTTTTGTGGCATAAGCCTTGATATCTTCTATTACAGCATTTACCAATTCGCCTCTTAGAAGTGTACAGAATAGTGAACTTTCTGGCTTATTCATCTGTGCTGTTGTGATGGGATAAATTGTTCTTTAGAAAGCTCCTATTTATGTGTACATTTCTATTACACTATTGATTCAACTACTCATTATTTATTGAGCATCACTGTTTGTCAAACTTTCCCATAGTTGCAAACATTGATCTTATCTTTTGTAGACTTGAAGGCAAGGACTGACTCTTCTCTGTGTACGTGGACCTTAAGTAGTGCTTGGCACAGAAGAACCACTTAGTAGATGCTGCCAGATGAATCATCCCAATGGGACATTGAGCTTTAGTCCAAATTGAAAGAGTGTGCTAAACAGTGGTTAGTGTCTAACCTAAACTGCTTCAAGACTAACCTACCTTCACATCATTTGTTTCTGGGAAGTTCCTGTATAGCATTTATGAGACATGGTTTATCAGCAATAAAGACCTGAATTATAACTGGAGATGAAATAGTTCATCTCCAGGTTCTTTGGTTCCATTATTCTCTATTTTGCTAAGTCCCTCTTGGTTATCCTTTTCAAAGTCTTTCCAGAATTCTCTCGGGGTAGGGATAAGCGTCTCTTTTTAAAAAAGTTTTACTTATTTATTCATTTAAGTATGTTTGTATGTTTGTATGTGGTGCTGGGGATCAAACCCAGGGCCTCAACCATGCTAGGCAAGTGTTCTACCACTGAGCTACGCCCCCAACCCAAGAATCTTCTTAACACCCCTGACATTGCTTTTCTAGGCAACCTCACATATTGCATTTTTTCCCCCTACATTGTGTCTTGCTGCATACATATACACAAACACATAACGCACACACCATTACATATGTGCAATTTTGTAAGATTCAAGAAATTGTTAGAGTACTAATAATTTACCAATAAAGATTGCATAAACTCAGTTTTTCAGTGGGTCTTTTTTTGTTTTTAAGCTTTGCATCATTCCTCCCCAGGTCTGCTTGTAATTTTCCAGAAGGTAGCTCCTACTAAAAAGGTGGTTTTGCTCAAAGGTTAGACATACCTCTTTCTGTCTGTGCTACTCTGTCCCAGGTTTGGCCTCCAGCCCATCCTGTGAATTTGTTCCCCTGCAACTATGGTGCTAACTGTAGCTTAGGTTATATTGGATTGCAACAGGTTCAGAATTCACATGCTATATACTATAAGTCTTTTAAAAAGTATTTTCTTCATACAGTTTTTTTGTACTTATAGTGCAGTTTGGTTAAAGAAAGATGAACTTCTTTAGCAGAAAATTAGTTTCCTCCTATCAGCCATCTGTTTTTCTGCAGCTGGGACCACTGATCAGCATATTAGATCTACTTTCTAAGTTTACACATTGAATCTGTCTGGTGAAGTCCTCATTCCTTTATGCTACATTCCTTGGCAAAATTATAAAGTAGATAAAGTTTGTCTTTTGAGCAATTTGTCTGCTCTCAGCAAAGCAGTTTTTATATTCTTTAAATGTTGTGAGAAGTTGTTTGAACATTCCTATTTAAACCGGGTGATAAATCTCTCCTTTGGGAAATTCACATGGTGAACAAAAGAGCTTAGTTATCAAATTAGTTTCTGAGTCCAAGATGCAAAGGCAGAATAGTGTCCTGCAGGGTTCTTCCAGCTCTCCCAGTGGAGATTGCCTCTTATTTCAAAATCCCTATGAGGGATTTTGATGATGGCTATGAGGCTGAGACGCACTTTCTACCTGCCTGTTATTCTGGCAGACCCAGAGGCCCCAAACCAGTCAGACTCCCTAGAACACAAAACTGTCCCTACCTAGGCAGCTCCCTCTGCTGAGAACCTTCCTGTAGCCCCCAGCTGGTCCAAGTAGCAGTAGGAGACTATAGGGGTCACCTAATCCAACTTTTTATTCATGTATTTCCCTTTCTGATGTGATGATGTCAGTGCATAAGCCTGCAGAAAATGCCCTGTGACGTCGATTTGGAGATTCCATGTTAAAAAGAAGTATGAGTATGAGACATAGAAAAGCGAGGAACAGGAGGAAGTACCAAATAACGTGTGATACCCTGTTTTTGAAAAAAGTTATAATTGAGTATATGCTTTAAAAAAGTCTGGAAGGAGAAACACCAAAATGTGATTATCTCTGGATAGGGTGTTATATGTGGCTTTCCTTGTTTCTTTATGCTTTTGCATGTAGTAACATGATCATGTATGCTATAATAAATTCATTTTTGGGGAAATATCTTTCCATTATGTTTTTCTCAGCCATCTGCTTTATAGCATCTTATGCTTGTATACTTCATTCATCTCTTGTACAACCCAGAGGGACTGACTTTTAAAGACCAGCCTGCATGAGATTCACTGTTTGATTCCAGTAAGTACAATTCTCAGAGCTGTCCATTTCTCCAAAGTCATTGGATGATTAATTAAAAGACACCCCAAACACCAGACACATTTTTCTGGGCCTGTTTGGGGAATTGAAGTATTTATTTTAGGGGGATTACTTCTTGTTGCGAGCTGGGTTATAGTCTAGCCTTTATAACATTGGAAAAATTAATGCAAATCTCTCTTTGCTCTCTGCAAAAGATATAATTCTTATAGGTAGGGTTATTTTTCAACTCAGTTATCCTTTCGGCTTTATCTAGCTCAGCTTAGCACAGCAGCAATGTAGGATTTTGCAAATGTTATTTATTTGGTTCGTACTGAAACAACATGAAAATGAGGGCAGGATCGTTTTGCTTATTTTCTTTAAGGATTTGCATTATATCCTGTGAAGACTTGAGGAACTAACAACAAGAAAATCATTGTAGAAAATGAGCAATAATCCCCAAGGTTAATGAGTTATAGGGAAATCTCTAAAGAGGTAACAATTATAATTTAGTGGGTGACATTTATGTGCTACTGTGTTTCAGCCACTAAGCTAAGCAGTTTTTAATTATTGTCTCATTTAAGTGTTATCCTAAGAAAGTACGGCTTTGATTTTTTTGTTTATTTAATTTTTAGAAATTGTGTAACTTTGATTTGAATCCTTGCTTCTCCACTCAGCAGCTGAGTTACTGCCTCAGATTGTTGTTTTGTTTTCCTGTGGAAACGGGAAACAGAGATAATAGTACCTACTTTATAGACCTGCTGTGAAGAGCACAATAAATACTACAATACGTGTAACTTATTTAATAAATAGTAACTGAAACAAGTACACTATATATTGGCTATAATTGTAGTTATTATTTTACACATGGCACTGTCAGTCACTGTTCCCATCCTACCAGGTCTCTTGGTATTTGTGGGATCATATTAACTTTTTTTTTGTTTTATTAACTTCCATGAATTACTGAATACTTATTCCATGTTGGTGGTGGTTTTTATTTTTTATTTTTTTGATGTTTTTAATCTTTATTACTACTTTAAATGATTTTTAAACTCTTAAGTCAGTTGGTCACTTGCTATATGGCATGCTCCCATACAGAACCTGAATTCAGGGATGAATGTAACAGGATTCTTTCATTAAAGGAATTCAGAGTTTAGGATGATGAGGGCTGGGAGGGAGGATAAGCAGAAACCTGTTCAGCTAATTGTGTGATACAGTGGAACGTGACACAGAAGAAAGTTAAGCTAGTTTTTGGCAGAGGAAACAGCATGAATAAAGGTCCAGAAACCAAAGGTTTTGAGCAGTGAAAGATAAGGCATGAAGAGTAAGTTTGGGCTAGATTTTGAAGAGTTTATAGAGAACCTCGGTAATGCAGAGCCACAGAAAGTTTGAAAACAGGAACATCTCTTTATAAAGAGAGCCACAAAGACATGGTGACAGGTTAGAATAGGGAAAGCGTAGAGGCAGTTAGGTAATTCTTGCAATAAGTCTGTCTGAAGAGATTGGTAGAGTGTAGGTGAGAGAGGTAACTTGAGGATTTGGGATTCAAATTGATTCAACAAATACTGTGATCCATTTTTCTGCTAGATCCTGTACAAGGTTCTGGGTTATAGATACCCAGAAGAATAAAATATGACTCTTGCCTAGGATGTAGTGGTGACACAGTAAGTATTGATAAATGATAATCCATAGATGATTCTAAGGTTTCTGCTTGGGCATTTGTGTGGATGGTGACACTTTGCTTATGAGTTTGTAGGACCTGGATGTGGAAGCAGATTGAGGGAGAGGAATAATGAGTTTAGTTTGAACATGGCTTAATTGTAGACTTTCTAGTAGTCATTTGACAGGATGTTGATTATATTAGTCTGGAACTCAGAAGAGAAATTGATACAGGAGTGATTTTTTTCTTCCCCTCCAGCCAAATAAACTGTAAGTGGGTTTTGTGAGGTGACTTTCAAATGTTGCTAGGATCCTAGCTTTCTGTTGTAGAACACCATATTGTGAGAAAGGTTTCTCATTGCTTATCTGTTTGAAGTATGCCTAAAATTTTTTAAATCATGTATGGTAATATGACAGACAAGGAGACAACTTCCTTTGAAAGAGTTTTTTGTTAACTACAGTTCCTAAGAATTGAGGGTCTGCTGTGTCATGCGGGGCCACATGGGAAAGCACCAAGGTTGTTAAGGGGGTATAAGGGAAAAAGGGGAAAGTACAGGCCAGAGCCTTTGTTGTGTATTTTATGGGAAAGGAACAGGTCAATCATAGTAGGCAAATTGAGCAAGTTTAGGATTAGATAGTTTGAATAATTTCAGTAGCTCTGGGTTGTAGGGATGATCCCCAATTATCAGGTACCTGGCCCAAGGTGAATGAGAGGCAAGAGCCTGATAAAATGTGGTAAATGAGATTAGGGACTCAGGATTGGTTGATTTGCATATTAAAGGCTTGCTGTGAGGCAGGTTGTTCACCAACCCTAGAGATTAACTAACCCTGGAAGAAACAGCTCCTTTGTGGGTCCACAAGGCCCCAAGATGTCAAAGCTTCATAGACTAAAAGAAAAAAAAACAATACATGACCCAGTATTCATTATCTCTTCTATATTTGCAGAACTGATATTTTGTTGAAGGTGACAGTGTGAACTGCTTAAATACTATATTCCTAATTTCCTTTGCAGTTAGGCGTTGCCAAGAGGTTATATGCAGAGTCATTTGGTGAAACTTCCAGGAAAGTTATTATGAGAACTATTTGGAGACTAATTCTTTGTATTTCTCCAGACCTTCATTCCCTGACTTTTTCTTTCTTGTCTGAAATGTGAACATGATGGCTGAATCTTCAGTAGCCACCCTGGACACAAAGCAGTCTTCAGGATGGAAGATGGAAGAAGCTGGGATCTGTATCACTTTAGAACCACCAGACTAGTACTATACAGTCTAGTTTGGCACTTTTGGATGATGCAAATAAACCTCTTCCTTGTTTAAACCACTTACTTGTGTGCAGTTAAACCCAGTCCTTACTAATTAACACATTCTTATCTTTATCTCCACGTGCATGATTAACTCTTTACTCCTTTCTTTTGTGGTACATCACCTTCCACAGAAAGTAAAGGTAGACTCACCACTGATCCCATAGTCTTCGATTTTTAACCTCTGTCACATAAATTTGGGGAGGGGACTAGGGCATGAAAAGTACACAAAACCTTAGCAATTAGCCTTAAAAAGTATAAATATAAGCTCAGTTTTCATCAAACAAATACTATTTAATTTTGCTTATAGTCCCTAGTGAGGACCCTTGATTTAAAAAAGGATCCTGTAAATAAAGAAGCACTTAGTTTAAGAACATAAACGTCCTTATTCTTCCCTGGCAGCAGATTAGATAATCTGGGGTGAGGAGGCTTCCCACTGCAAAGTAACCAGATTTTAAGTACAAAATAGTTTTATTGCATCTTTAGGGGTATTAATATGCTCAGGTTGCCATAACAAAATATCATGGTTTGGTGGCTCAGCCAACAGGCATTTATTTTCTTGCAGTTTTGGAGGTTGGAAGTCTTAAGACCAGGATGCCAGCATGGTCAGTTTGTGAGCAGTGTCTTTTCCTGGCTGCCATCTTGCTGTGTGCTTTTGAAGATCAGGACCCTACCCATTGATCTTATTTAACCTTAATTACCTTATTCAAGGCCCCATTTCAAATATAGTTAGATTGGGGGTAACAGCTTCAGCATGTGAATTTGGGGATCAGAGGCGTAATGTTTATAGCATTGGGCTTGCAGGAGGAAAGGACAACTTGAAGTGACAATTTTAAACTAGAAGCTGAAATCAGAGAAACAGGAAAAAGTGGTTCTCTGACTGCAGATACTAATTTTGGCATGGTTTGGAAATAAAAACAAAGGTTGTATGCCAAAAGTGTCCCTCAAACATTCTTTATAATTTCTTTTGAAATAAAAATGAGGTGAGGATATGTTGTCAGCACTTCTCTTTAACAACTTGCTTGTAGTGAGATTTCTAGCATGTGCTGTTGGAAAAGGAAAAGGAAAAGACCAGAAAGAGAAAGTGATTCACAAATGCTATGACTGCATTGAAAAACAATGTATAGATAAATTACTGATTAAAGAGTATTTGGAAATAAGATCAGTACCCAAGTGTCAATTGCAAACAATGGCAAAGAAAATGTAATTTGAAAAAAAGATACCATGTAAGGAAGTCAGAACATGTATGGCATCTCCAATACATGGTTTCTGTGAAGAACATTATAAAATGTTATTGAAATACATGAAAAGATGGGAAGCATTCTTTCTTCAAAGATGTAAGTTTCCTAAAAGTAATATTACAAATCAAAAGAATTTTAAATCAGTATCAAGAAGTCATTTGGGAATTTTGACAAGCCCATTCTAAAGGTGTATTGATAAAGAAAGGTCCAAGAACAATATACTCCTGAATAGTGGCATTACAGATTATTGGGTGAAGGATAGATTAGTCAACAAATGTACCTCATAGTGGAATTCTGGTATTTTCCTGTTTTTGTGTATGTCTCAAGATTCTCCAGAGGAACAAGATTTCTCACTCTTTGGTGGCTCTGTGCCTCCTTTTGGTGCTATTTACCTTTCTGTTCTGTTTCTCCTCACCTTCTTTCTGAGGCAAGCCCTCATTATGTATCCCAAACTGACCTTGAGTTCATGACCCTCCTTGTTATAGCCTCCCTAGGGCTGGGATTATAGGTATGAGCCACCACACCCAGCTGCAACCCTACTCCCTTTGAAATTGAGTATAAGTTCTCCATATTCTTTGTGACCCAGATGTTTTCCTTCTTATGACACTGGACACTATTTGCATTTTAGCAAAGAGCGGCTGAGCTTGAGATCATAAGTGAAAGTGACAGTCCATATCATCTGTGAAGAGGACAGACTAACCTAAAAGAGCCAGAGAGGATTCACTAAGCTGTTCTGTGTGGCACACTAAATTGAGCAGAGACGAGACAGGTATAAAAAAGCAGCAGAGAGGATAGGTTCTCAGAGAAATTTTCAAATCGACAAGGAAATTCCATACATCAATAGGAAGATCAGGCTGCCTAATTGCTGACATGTTGGGACTTGCTGAGGGACTGTTCCTAGTTCTGATTGTCACTCAGTTCATCCTTGGAAACCTGGGGAATGGTTTTATCGGGTTGGTCAATGGTAGCAGCTGGTTCAAGAACAAGAAAATTTCTTTGTCTGACTTCATCATCACCAGCCTAGCCCTGTCCAGGATCATTCTGCTGTGGATTATCTTGATTGATGGTGTTTTAATAGTATTCTCTTATGAAATACGTAATTCAGGAACAGTAATGCAACTTATTGATATTTTCTGGACATTTACAAACCACCTGAGCATTTGGCTTATCACCTGCCTTGGTGTTCTCTATTGCCTGAAAATTTCCAGTTTCTCCCACTGCACATTCCTCTGGCTCAAGTGGAGAGTTTCCAGGGTGGTTCTGGGGATGATGTTGGGTGCACTGCTCTTATCCTGTGGCAGTACTATATCTCTGATCAACGAGTTTAAGGTCTATTCTGTCCTCAGTGGAATTGGTGGCACAGAGAATGTTACTGAACACTTCAGAAAGAAGAGAAGTGAATATGATCTGATCCATGTTCTTGGGAATCTGTGGAACTTCCCTCCCTTAATTGTGTCCCTGGCCTCCTACTTTCTGCTCCTCATCTCTCTGGGGAGGCACACACGGCAGATGCAGCGCAATGGTGCCAGCTCCAAAGATCAAAGCACTGAGGCCCACAAGAGGGCCATCAGAATCATCTTCTCTTTCCTTTTATTTTTCCTACTTTACTTTGTTTCCTTTTTAATTTTGTCATCTAGTCGCTTTTTACCAGGAACTAAGGTGGCTAACATGATTGGTGAAGTCATTACAATGTTCTATCCTGTTGGCCACTCATTTATTCTCATTTTGGGGAACAACAAGCTGAAACAGATCATTGTGGCAATGCTCCCATGTGCATGTGGTCATAAGAAGCCTGGATCTAAAGGATGCTTTTCCCCATAGAGTAGCAGAGGGCATGGGATAGAGTCTGGGAATTCTTCTGCCTTACTGAAGACTACAGGGCTCTTTTTGACCCTCTCATGGCATCATCCTTCCACTCCCCCTTCAGAAGTATTTTAAAGTTTTTCACATTATGTAAAAGACCAAGCATGCCTCTCCTTCCTCTTTTTCTTTTCTTCTTCTCCCCTCTCCTTTTCACCAAGATGTATATCTGTTTTTAAAATTACTGTTTTATCACATGCAATATATGCAGTTTGCCATTTAATCAATTTTATTTAAATAATAGATAGGCATTGATTTACTTCCTGTTATTGAGCAATTTTGACGATTTTGTGGGGGATATTGTTTAATATGAAGAATTTTTAAATTTTATGAACACATTTGATTGAGGCAGGTGGCATTTCTGAATATGGACCTTTAGCACAAAAAGTGTCTCTCGAGTGTAGTATCATGAATATGGGCCTGAAAGCCACACAGCCCGTGTTCAACTCCTGGTTCTAGCCCTTATGAACTAAGTGACCATGGAGAAGTTGCTTACCCTCTTTCTATTCTGCTTTCCTCATTTGTAAAATGGAAATAGTAATAGGTTATTAGAAGGAATGTATGAGTAGACACATGACTAGTCCTTAGAGTCCTGCATGAAGTAAGCAATATGGATAATCATATTACTTGGTATTTAGTCATATATAACCAGAAGTTAATTTTAGGATTGTTCTAGGGTTTATACATTCATTTCTTAAATTACAGGGATAAAATATTTTTTGTTCTGCATAGTTGGCTTGTAAATTGACACTTGCCTCCTGAAGCTGCTTGGAAAATTCCTAACTCTGACCCACCCTAAAGTTCTCTTTAGAAAACATATCTGCTGAAAATTAAAGAAATGATTTAAGATTCACTAGCCAGGCACTGGTGACTTACGCCTGTAATCCTAGCTACTCAGGAGGCAGCGATCAGGAGGAATGTGTTTTGAAGCCAGCCAAGACAAATGGTTTGCAAGACCCTATCTCAAAAAGACCCAACACAAAAAAGGGCTGGCGGAGTGGCTCAAGTGGTAGAGTGCGCTTGCCTAGCAAGTGAGGCCCTGAGTTCAAGCCGCAGTACCACCAAAAACCAAATTCATTCATATTTCAATAAAATGAAAGAAATTCTAAAATTGGTATTTTCCTACTTCATAATTCTCATATTTTCCATCTCATAATTATGCAATTAAAAATCTGTGCTTATTTTCAACATTGGAGAGTTTCACTGTGGAAATCCATGCTATCTTGATTGATAGACATCTTTGGCCTGTTCCTAAGCTCTTTTACTCAACCTCCCCCACTAATGAACCTCTTTTGAAATTGTTCCTGCTTTTTGTTACTTTGACTACTTCTCTGCTTAGCTCTGACCTTATGGGTTTTTAACATTTACCTGAGCTCTTGATTCTGCCTCATGGCTTAGGTGTTGGGATTTGCCTCCCTTTTAGTCAACTGTAACATCTGACTAGAGGTTTTGGTTAGCTGTTCATTACCTATCTGCTGTTCATTTCACAGGCTCCTGTAGTATAAGTGGAAAGTACAGAATTCTCTGAGTGGGAGTCTGATGTGATAGCCTATTTGGTTACCTGAGAGGGACTCCCTCTTTCAGAGAAGTTTGGAAGTGACTCCTGGAAACCTCAGACTTTGTTATGTGACTTTAGTCATGTGTGGACAGCCATTTATCAAAGTTGGGAGTGGTATTTGGGTTTAGTTGCTAGATGAGTTGATGACGCAAGGAGTCTCACTTATTGCTAGAGGCACAGTGGTGGAAAGTTTGGCTATTTTGGAGAGGATTTGGTCTTCTAAATCCATCAGAGGAATGCCTAATCTGCAAGCTTCTCACATTCTCAGAGAACTGCATGCTTTAGGGCCAGTTTTTAGAAACCTTAGAAAGTGCCATATTTGTCAACCTTTGCTTTTAAGTACTTGACTTCTGTTGTTAACCCCCCTTAGATACTTAAATCTATCTGGACATTGTAGCCCACTCTAATTCCAAGATTTAGGAGGCAGAGGCAGAAGGATTGTGAATACAAGATCCAGCCTTGGGGGCTGGGGGTGTGGCTCAAGTGATAGAGCAATTGGCTAACAAGTGCAAGGCCTTTAGTTCAAACCCCTGCATCACCACCACCACCAAAAAAAAAAAAAAGACCAGCCTAGTTGAGTTCCATGCCAGCCTGGGTTACACAGTGAGACCCTGTCTCAAAAAAACAAAACAAACAAACAACTCAACCAAAACCCCAACAACAACAAAGAAAACCTAGTTGCTTCATGCCAAGGAATAGGACCAGATATCTTGTTATGACAGTTACTTGTTAGACCTGATTCCCAAGGCCCGTGTCCCTCTCTACACATCTGTTCTCTGGTATATTGCTGTGGTTTAACATAAGTCAACAGCAATTTATGACAGTAGCTGATGACATCTTCCAATTTTCCATCAGGATCCTGCCACAGGTGGTCTTTGTCTTTATCTTCCTTTTGTGGCAGCCATGAAATTTTGCTGTTCAGATATTTGCTGATGGCTTCAGCTGCTGAGATTCATCACAGCAAGGCCACACTTCCTGCAGACTTCTCCCAGCCAGTAATAGAGCACTGAGCAGTACTAAGGCAAGACCATTCTTTTGAGACATGAGATTTCTCCAACAGACAGTTTTGGCCCCTGGATTATCATCAACTTGGTTGAAGCTTTGCTGAAACTGTGCTGTGGTTTCATAGAGTTTGACTCTCCCTATTTAATTCTTCCTTTCACTCCCTCTTTTACTGTTGTAATATGTACATTGCTTTTAGAATACTCATCTTGTCTGACTCCCACATAAAATCCCTTGCATGTCTAGTCTCATTTCATCCTGTTACTGGAAGACCTGAATTAACACCCTATACAAATAAGATGTTTATTAAAGTGTTAGTGCAGATGATACAGCTAGCTACTAAAAGATTGTGTGTGTGTGTGTTTTCTAAGCCCACTGAATTCTGGAAATCATCCCAGATTCATACTCCTATAAGTTCAATAAGCATTTGGTCACAAACCAGATGTTTGGCTGTACTTTAAAAACATTTCTTTGGTGTGGTGGTACTTGTTTGTAATCTGACATTTGAGAGGTTAAAGTCCCCTAAACATAGGGGTTAGTTAGGCAGGGCGGTAGGAAACCTGACAGCTGAGAATGATGGCTGGGAAGTTGATTTAAAAAAAAAAATCACATCCTGGAACACTGATGTTAATAGAATGGCTTATGACATACAGCGGGGTCTTGTTGACCCAAAGACCTTGCAGCCTCCATAGCACTTGGAAAATGAAAAGCCCCTGTCTTACCATCCATGGCCAAAAACTCCCCTGCCTGACATATGGGAAGAGTTAATTATGCATAACTCAGTCTCTAACAGTTAATGACACATAACCCAGTTTTTCAGGAATGAACACCCTTACTTCCACAGACCCTAATAAAAGCTTGAAGTCTTGAGACTCTCAACTCAGTGTCCTTCTTGAGCCCATTCACTCTTTCCCATCTGAGAGTGTACTTTCACTTTATGTTAATAAATCTGCTCCTACTTAAGCCCTTTCTATGTTTCTAATGAAATCAAGAACCTTTTGGCCCGTGACCTGGTAACCTGGATCTGGTAACATCTCTTGTCAAGCCAGTCAGAAGGATCCAGGAGACCCTACCCAGGAGCAGCGAGACTTTATTCTTTGGCTCTGGTAACCTAGTCTCCCTATCTCTGGTCTGCTTGCTGCTTATCTCTTCCATATCTCCCCGGGATTGAAACCAAATTGCTGCACACTTTGGGTACAGGTTGAGCACTTAAATGTCACTAGGATGCTAGCTGCTAATGACTCTCATGACAGGATAAGTGGGTCATGGAAGGAGAATAGCATTAGACCTTCCCACCCACTATGAATCAATCTCCATGCAACAATGTGGGACATTGAATATCATTCACATCATACAATCCCTGAGGCTTGTTCCCTTTAGTCTTTTGTGTTTTTCCTTTTGTTTTCAATCTTATCTGTTTCTTAGCTTTTTAAACTCTTCTATGACTATCAATCTACCTTGCCTTGCATTGGCTAGTTTGTCTCACACCTGTTTTGCTACCCTGTTTCCATAGTGTGTAGGGGGGGGGTTAGGAAACGTGATTATTTTTGCCATGCAGTAGTCGGACATTTCCCTGCAGGGTAATCCCTGATTTGTGCTGGATGTTTGAATGTTTTAATCCAACCATCATATTTACTGTTAGAAAATCCAGGGAACAATGATTTCCTCTCATAGGCTTGTATATTCCATGATCTCTTACCATAGTATACAAAAATGTGGCAACACCCCAGTTAGCTTGATTTGACTGACTAAACATTTGGAGGCCCAGGTCTACTGAGAGACCAGAAGCAGAGTTCTCAAGGGTTGAATTCCTTCTCTAATGACAGTAGCATGCTTTTAATTGGCAGAAATGAACCTTCAAAGAGAGGAAAAGGGGGTCTTAGGATAAGACAAAAAACTAGGGGACTTCATCCTAGTTTCTCCAAGGTTGTTGTCTGTCTTGGGCTTTGGAGAAATCCAGGAAAGTTTTGAGGCCCAGGGTGGCTAACTGCCAGGCCAGAATGGACACCTTGGGATGCTGGGGTTAACAGGGTATCTGCTCAGATGAATTTTTCCCTCCTTAGCAACAAAGAGGCTAGGCTAAGGCTTCAGGATGCTAGACCCTATCCATTAGTGTCCCAGGTTCCTCCAGGAGGTTCAGTCCCCTTAACCTAGGTATGCTCCCCACTCTTGTCTGTTAAGACCATAGGAGGTTCTCAGTCAGTACTGACCCATGCTCCTCCAGGTTGCATTCTCAAACATTGGGAATAATTATTTGTAGATTGTCTCAGGAAGAAGCCTCTAATCCATTTCTGTAATGTAGCTTGGCTCCGATATAAATTGGAGGATGGAGAAATCTGGCTTAAAAGTGGGTGCTTAAATTACAATATTATCCTACAACTAGATTTCTTCTGTAAAAAAG